TAGATTTCACTACTCCAGCATGATCTTTGCGAGGTAGGGAACATTTAAATTGTACTGAAAGCTTAATATATTTTACCAAAAGAGATTGTTCTTAGACTGTATGCCAGGGTTGACTGAATTGACTTAATGACTTCTGAGTTCAAGCTGAGCAGAAGTTTATCTATGAGCTGAATGAGCTGAGCCTTATGATTGAGAAATGATGGAAACCTCAATGTGGGTATCTGAACTACTGTACTCATGTCATGTGTGCAAAATATATTTTCGGAATTCCAATTCGGAGAAGAATTTATGGAGTGACTAATATCACACTATGTATAAAACTTTGTCTGGGACGAAAAAAAGGCTGATAAGAAGTTATACGTAAAATGTGCAGGAAAATAAAGAATAGAATATACTTTACCCCAATATTATACATATGATTTTTCCGTTTCCCTTGCATAAAAAGTAATTTTCGAATAATTTATTGATGAAAGTAACAAATAAGTTGGTATACGCCTTGGTATACGCAGTATAACTCACAGGAACGCTATTTTCACTCTTGCATCCTACATAATTTCTATTTGTGGTAGAGTAATAATTATATGAACTAATGTCTTTCGCCATATTGGATCCGTCATCTTGAATTTTCAAATTTTGACGAAACAATCATTATCTCCTACCCCAACAACCCTCAGATACCAATTTTGAATAGAATCGGATCTTCATTACAAAACTCGTTCGCCATATGATCTTCCTCAACAAGTAAATACCCTGTACATGCCTATTATTAAAATTTTGAATGATTTTCTGCAGCGCCCATGGATGTGACGTGACAGCAATGTCAGGGATGCCAGATGCAGCTATGATCTGTCCGTAGTTAGATTAGATTGTTGAGGAAAAGCAGTCTCTTTTGTTCTCTCAATTTTTCAAAAAATATGTTTTTTCTGTGACGGGAAAAAAAATTGGCATTTCATCTCTGTTGGCAGGTTATAAAATGTCACTTTTCATAAATTACTTTTTTCCCGTGGGAAAAAAGTGAGTACTTCTTTCCCGGATATATATCACATATATATACTCTGTTAATGGCTTTTGTTATACCGTCTCCGAGAAAGAACTGCAAGTCCTTTTATCTTTCATTCGACTTCGCGGTTTCGTATATTACTAAACAACTACTGAATTCGCAATTTTTTAAAATCAAATCACAGAATTGAATTGACAGAAGTGACATCAGATATTTGATTACTTCAAAAGAATGATAAAGATGCCTATAAAACGCAGGTGTCCCTACTGTTGAAAACTTGAAAATTCACGTAGATAATTTTCAGATTTCGAAATAATGTAATATCTTCTCAATATTGATTCTTCCTTCTGTCACAGAAAAAAATAGTGTATTATACACGGGAAAAATATTAGATTTTAGCTCACGGTTTTTTGTCTCCCTCCGCTACGCGTCGGGAGACAACACAACCTGGAGCTAAAATCTACTACTTTTTTCCCTTGTATAATAAATAACTATCTTTAGGAAGAAGAATGATGGAAATGAGTAGATGGTGCGCGTACTCGGTCATTTTTACGTATTGAAAACTCGCTGGATTGCTTACTATGATTTCTCTACGTCACATTGAGCTTACTTCTACTTTTTTCCGATAGATAGTGATATGTGGCAAATGGCATTTTAGGTTCGCGGAACATAATATGTAAAAGTTGGTTAATTTCACTTGAACTTCGAAAAACCTGCGGCAATTTCAAAATTGACAGAAGTCATAATTGTCAAATATCGCCATCTATTGAAAGATCGTTCTCGAGAGGCTGGAGTGATCGGTAGAATTTCTGTATCAAAAGCGCGCCAGTGAGTATATCCACCATCTACTTATTTCCATCATTGAAAGAAGGTCCAATGAGACCGAGTAAGGTCAAAAAATAAGTTGTTGCCTTATATTAGAGAGTTGAAGTAACTGTACGTAGACCTCCACGTCGACGTTAACGTACGAAAAATAACGTTTACGTATTGTCGTTAAATTGAGTTGAAGTCGCCACTTTGGTCGTCACTGTCATCATAACGTAATAATACATTTTGTTTTCGGTTTGTATTGGTCATTTTTGGTTGTGTGTTTAGATTCGAACATTTATTCCTGTCAAAATTAGAGGACTCCTTGATGCAGAACTCGTTGGTGATCTCGAATTTGATAATTTTGACTCATCGGCATATTTCGAGTATAGTTTGGTTAACGTACGTGAAGGAACGTGAGATAACGTACACCCGTAAGCCCACTAACAACGCAAACGTGAAGAATTGGAAAATGCGCATGCGTAGCTGTCAATTTCTACGTTTACGTTAACGTTCATGACAACACTTCAACTCTCTATTGTTTAACGAGCACGGAATTATAGTGATTTTGGGCGAATGCTGCAATCATTCAAGTCGGAAATTAGCATTCCGTGCGAGTTATGAATTACAATTTTTTTACGGTTGTAAACGAATAACAGCGACATTTTTTATTTTTTCTTCTCGTAGACATCTGATTTACTATCAAGTAATTGATCATTCCAGGACACGTGATTTTGACATTGGTTTTTTGAATGCAATGCAATTTTGAATCGAACAAGGCGCATACGTCTATGATATTTCACAGCAAGTTCCATGCAAGTTTCGTAATAGAACCAGTCCTATTTTTCCTGCAATTCCAAGGCAACTTTGGTAAATTAGTAATATTCATCGTAGCATCTTGATAAAATACAAATTTTCTCCATAATGTGGCCTGAAACACCAAATAAACTCAAAAAGTACATTGAAGGCTCAAAAAACTGAAAATAGTGAATATGAACAAGAAAGTATGACAGAAATATCTCAAAGTACGGTGACTTCCAATAACTTGAGAAAATTGCGAGAAAATTGCATTGCCTCAAACTTGCCGAGAAATAGCATAATGTACGGCACCCTTTAGGTTACCTTTGATTAGAGTCACTGCATGGTATAGTTTGATAAGAGTTCGGACACAGAAATGACAACGGTTAGGGTTTTTGAATGTTTAGATTTATAAAGTTACACACCCTGCATTGTGACAAGAGCACCATAGTCGTCCCGCGCTTTTTCATTCAAAATTGTTCGAATTTGACAATACATTTTATAAACGTCAGAATTGAAATAAAATTTCATAATTATACTTTCGAGAAAAAAGCAGCTATGGAAATCACTTGCTGTGTAATAAATTATGCCAATTCTGAAGGAAATGGATATCATTTATTCAATTTTCCAAATCAAACATCAAGCATTCGCTTATTCAAGGAAGATATGAAACGGCCTGGGTGGAAAATCAATTTGAAGACGAGCGGAATTTGTGAGGTACTCATTGAAATTCACTTCTCATAACAGCATCTGATTAGAATGAAACTATATTTTAGGCCCATATTCAAACAGAAGATTTCAAAATCTGTTTGAGAGAATCTGCTGTTCCATCAATTTACAAAGCAGACGATTTCTCTACAAGAACAAAATTTCCTTATATTATCATCACACAAAATGCAAAACAAAAAAAACATGGAAAAAATATCACAAAATTACATAATGAAATTGAAAATTTGAAAACGAAACTAAGGAAAGCAAGTAAACTACAACGTGATATATTATTGAATGGCGTTTTTGGTGCCGACCAAATTCAAAATTCAACAGTGGAAAGTGAATAGATATTTATGTATCAAGGGAATTATTATAAGGGCCTTAATTATGCTGGAGCATATCGTTTAGGAGATATTTTCTATATCTCCTAGGGTGCTAAGTGAAGTTGCTGAGAACTTTACAAAATCAAGTATTTGGTAGGTCTCGTCAAAATAAATTACTTTTTTCCCATGAAGTAATTATCGAAAAATGATTTGTTCTCTGTATTTCAACACCCTGTATCTCCGAAATGAAGCATTTCCGGATACAAGCTTATATAAACTATATTTCTTGAAATTGTCTCAGGACTACTTCACTTTGAACGTACTTATGTTACTCCCTGTATATTGAAAATACCTACGTTTAATTTAATATTAATAACTTCATGTTTTATACTTATCACTGGAGTACAGTTTCACATACAATAAGGAATTATAGCTATAAGTTTATCCATATGTGTATATTTTCTAATACATGCATTCTTTTCATTTATATTGTTGTTCATCTACTGCTATGATTGATTTGACAGAAAATGTAACCTCTAAAATCGTATCTGACAATCAGGCGCTACTAGGGAAATTGAAAAGACAAATTGCAGGATATATGTCTTATTCTTTTATTCACTTAAACCATTGTATTTAAGATGCCATTGTATTATAGAAAATAGAAAAGGACAAAAGTTCAGCTGTTTCCGAACTCTTATCAAACTAATACCATCCAGTGACTCTACCTTTGATGAGTATAGACCTGACCATCCCTGTCATATCCAACAAACAAAATTATGAAAATTCAAAATACAATGTTTGCCCTATCAGATACGGAAATAAATTTGATGACAAAGTACCTCATTGATGTATCGAACACAGTGGAACAAGAGCAATTTGTTGTTAAGCCGTAGAAAATAGATATTCACCTCTGCTATTTGCAAAGAATCCATATTACGTTATTGTTGTTGGGAGCTAGAATATTGAATGTTGTGTTCAAGAACTGTCTACAGGCTCTCGTGGTTTTATTTCATTTTTACCCATATGACTTTTACACGTGACTGACATTGATTATTTGTCAATTGTCATTATTGAATATTTGATTGAAGTTTGAAAACTGCTACAAGAAGTTCGTTAAAAGTTTTTTTTATATCATCAATTTGTATAGTAATTTTTCCTTGTGTTGTGTAGTTCTTGTACGCAGAAAATAGAATTCTTTTTTTTTTCATGAATAACTGATGTTTGAATAGTTTTATCTTTGGTAAATTAGCATTATTTTTACTATTAGTATTCTGTATTCAAGTACCCAATGCATGTGTGTTCATTACTGTTGATTTTGTCTACATACTTTTCTAAAGATTTCAGGTAGGTAACAAACAAAAATGTCCAACAAGGGAACGGTAAATATTGACGATTTCTTGAAAATCGAGAAAATTGGAGAAGGCACATATGGGGTTGTGTACAAAGGAAAAAACAAGAAAACTGGCGAATTAGTGGCTATGAAGAAAATCAGGTGAGTCGATATAAATGTCATATCATTACTTGAATTATTTCATATTACTCAATATAATTTGTACCTATTTGATGATATCAAAATATAATGTTGAATACCTAGAAATATTACCTATTTATGGATATTAATGTACCTACTCATGGCTTCTTAAGAGTAATTATTCTCAATAAACTTCTCTTGGGTTTGAATAAAACATAATAAATAGATGAACAGACCAATTTAGTAGGTGATTGTGAATAATAAGTATATTATACTTTCTTTATTGTACTTCCAAGTTATAATATGTCAAATCAGTGAAAAATACATTATTTTCAAATATGGCTCTGCTGAGTTCGCCGGAAGCCAGCAAAGCCATGGAATATTTTGAAAAAATATGCAGCAAAAAATTCCAATTCCAAAATGAGATAGCTATTGAGCTTACAATCACTAACACTCTGCCTTATGAAATCGTCATAAAATATGCTTTTGATAGATATGCATGGTGTATAGTGAATGCATATATCAACGAATCGTTTAGTGTTTTTTTCTGTTAGAAACATTGAGCAAAAACTTCGAAAATAGGGTAATTATTTAGCCTTAAATTAGCCTTCAATCAAAACTAATACTTTGCCTCATGAAATCATCATGAAATATGCTTTTGATAGAAATACATAATGTCCAGTGGATGACATGTATATGAAGGAATCATTTTGTGTTTTTTTTGTTGGAAACATTGACCAAAAAATAAAAAAATAGGGTAATTAATTAGCTTTTTAATATGGATATATCAAATCAGTGGAAAATGTATTCTTTTTAATAATGGCTCTGCTGAGTTCCTCTGAAGCCAGCAAAGCCACAGGTTTTTTTTTAAAGATATGCAGCAAAAAATTCCATAATGGGATGATAATTGAGCTTACAATCAATACTAACACTTTGCTTTATAAAATTGTAATAAAATATGCTTTTGATAGAAATGCATAATGTATAGTGAATGAATTCTATATTTTCACTATATCAGATCATCAAAATATATTGTTTTTCAAGAATGGCTTTGCTGAGTTCAGCAGAAGCTAGTTAAGCCACAGTTTTTTTATGATAGAGAGGAGCAACAAATTCGGGAATGGGGTAATAAATTAGCCTAAAATGAGCCTGAAATTATGAGATGTGTCTCATGTTGAAATTTTGCTAGCTTCTTTGGTAAGTTCAAAATGATGATTGTTTCTGAAAAACTCATTATATTGATGGTTATTCATACCAGAACAAATTTGGTATAAATTGCATCAATAATAGTTCATCAGTGATTGTGTTATTCATTAGTATTATTCCTTTCTTTCTTGGTTTGATCAATGTGATTCAAACTATCAATCTAGTGGTATTTTTTACTTTTCTTCAAATGTATTCCCATATGTTCATTTTATTTATATTTACCAGGTTAACAATGTTGTAAGCTATTCATAGATTTTTTTTTGTATATTAGGCTTGCCTACTTAATGAATAATGATGAATAGTTATGCTATAGAGATGGGGCTGTTGAAAGGAGACATGCTGTATTGTAGTTGAATAGGAGTTACTGAAATCTGGGAAATAAAACATTTTTAGGATATGGAGAAACAAGATGAAAGCTTCACAAAATCATATTAATAATATAAATATGTCTAAATGTATTAATATTATATGTTGCACCTGACCAACACAAAAAATAGTTTTGAAAATATTTGCCAAAAAAGTAAAATTCATAGCAAAAATGTTTCAGTGATGATTTCAGATTGAATTTCCCTATTTTGCTGTTTTTAAATACATTTCCTAAACAGATCGATATTGAAAGGCAAATTTCAGGCTAATTAATTACCCTATTTTCAAAATTTTTCTCAAAGTTTTGAACAGAAAAAAACACAAAACGATTCCTTGATATATGCGTTATTCACTATACACCATGCATATCTATCAAGAGCATATTTTTTGACGATTCTATAAGGCAGAGTGTTAGTATTGATTGTAAGCTCAATAACTATCTCATTATGGAATTGGAATTTTTTGCTGCATATTTTTTAAAAATAACCCATGGCTTTGCTGGCTTCCGGCAAACTCAGCAGAGCCATATTTGAAAATAATGTATTTTTCACTGATTTTGATATTTTGATATTGAAAGGCAAATTTCAGGGTAATTAATTACCCTATTTTCGAATTTTCGTTTCCAGCAAAAATTCACTATAATAATAATAATAATAATAATAATATTTATTTCATCCTTTGAGACATTACAAAATGTATAGGACAAGTCAAGCGCTTACAAAATGGTTTAAAAATGAAATACATGATGAAATACACAGAATACAATTATTGTCAGTAAAAATTAAAACAAATGGCAACAATGGCTAAAATGGCTATACATCATGCATATCTATCAAAAGCATATATTATGGCGATTTTATAAAGCAAACTGTTAGCATTGATTGTAAGCTCAATAACTAACCCATTTTGGACTTTTTAGCTGCATATTTTTTAAAAGAAACCTGTGGCTTTGCTAGCTTCCGGCGAACTCAGCAGAGCCATTTTTGGAAAGGTTATATTTTTTCCGATCTGATACATTGGGATTTCTATGCTAATATTAGGCTAATTAATTAAGCTATTTCAAAATGTTTTGCCTGAAATTTTAGAAACAAAAAACGAATTGATTTGTTCATATTCGCAATATTCACCAGGTAATATATGTTCCTATCAAAAGCATATTTTTTGACGATTTTATGAGGCAAAGCAACAGTATCGATTGTAGGCTCAAGTACTATCCCATTTTGGATTTTTTTGCAGCATATTTTCTGAAAGAATTCTGTGGCTTTGCTGGCTTCAGGCGAACTCAGCAGAGCCATTTTTGAAAATAATATATTTTTCATTGATTTGATATATCGATATTGAAAGGCTAATTTCAGGCTGATTAATTACCCTATTTTCAAAATTATTTGCTCAACGTTTCAAGCAGAAAACAACGAAACGATTTGTCGAAATACGCGTTATTCACTAAACATTATGCATATATCTATCAAAAGCATATTTTATGACGATTTTAGAAAGCAAAGACACAGGTTTCTTTTGAAAATATGCAGCGAAAAAATCCAAAATGGGATAGTTATTGAGCTTACAATCAATACTAACACTTCAACTTTGAAAAAGCGTCATAAAATATGCTTTTCATAGAAATGCATGATGTAGTGAATAACGCGTATATCGACGAATCGATTCGTGTTTTTTTTGTTCAAAAAGTTGAGCAAAAAATTCGAAAATAGGGTAATTAATTAGCCTAAAATTTGCCTTTCAATCTCTATATACAACCCATTTAATTTAGTACCCCAATTTCGGAAACACCCTGTATAGAGAAGGGGCCGTTTGAAGTGAGACCCAATGTATAGACAACAGAAATAAGATCTTTGAGTAGATTTCTGTGGGGCCAAATATAATTGAAATTTAAAGATCTTACTTCTAGCACAAAATTGGGTATAACTTTTTCTTGTTTCAAGGAAGAACTTTCTGAAATACACATGTACTCTTCAAAATTCACAATAACTCATTATTTCAAACAGAATTCATTTGAGAATATCCATATCCAGAAGAAAACGTACTTAGTTTTTCGCGGTGCTAACCACTATGTCCAATACTGTACAGGGTGGGCAAAATTTGGCGTTTTCGCCGTCTATCTCAATAACTAGAGGAGTTATCGAAAAACCGATATACATGTTCCGGGTTCGATTTTGGAAAAATCTCGAATGGCACAATCAAAATTTCGAAATCTTCATTCGTTTTAGAGATACAGGGAGAAATTGAAAATTTGCCGATTTCGATTTTATTTTCTGACTACTTTACGGTGAGAGGTATCAAACAATTTCAAAGTATATTTATATAGTATGATGCGTGGAATCCATTGGCATCATCAGAAATTTTATACAGGGTGACGTTGAAAAGATACGGCAGCCAATTATGTTTTTTCTAATGGAACACCCCGTATATTTTGGCACAGTTGAATAGTCCCAGGCGTTCTCATTACAAATATATATATAACCCTACCTTTTCCTTCCACAATTTCAGATATATCCGCAACAATATATTCAGTGTGTCACATTTCTTATGGTTACACCGTATCTTCTGTAAAAATAATTGAGGTAGGATTCGAAAATTCGCAACTGTCAGAAAGATACAAATGATACACTCATGGAGTCATGGACCAAGTGGGATCATCTCCAATGATAACACTGCTCGCCAGCAGCTATAGAATCATCGATATTTCTGGATAATGCTATCAACAGGCAGAATCGAGGTTGAAAATGACACTCTGTATATATTCACCAAAGGTGGAAAATGAATATCATAGGGAATGTTATTTCCAGACAAATGGATATTTGGTGAGAAATAAAATGGGAAATTATTCGATTTGATATCATTGTTATCAAGACATTTGAGATACAGAAATAAGACCAATAATTTACTCAATTAGGAAATCAGTAGGTTGCGTTGAAAAATATAGCCTTATAGAAGATGTCCAAATTCCAGATACAGAAGATACGGGGGTGTAACCATAAGAAATGTGACACACTGAATATATTTTTGCGAATATATCTGAAATTGTGGAAGGAAAAGGTAGGGTTATATATATATTTGTAATGAGAACGCCTGGGACTATTCAACTGTGCCAAAATATACGGGGTGTTCCATTAGAAAAAACATAATTGGCTGCCGTATCTTTTCAACGTCACCCTGTATAAAATTTCTGATGATGCCAATGGATTCCACGCATCATACTGTATAAATATACGTTTGAAATTTTATGATACCTCTCACCGTAAAGTAGTCAGAGAATAAAATCGAAATCGGCAAATTTTCAATTTCCCCCTGTATCTCTAAAACGAATGAAGATATCTAAATTTTGATTGTGCCATTCGAGGTTTCTCCAAAATCGAACCCGGAACATGTATATAGGTTTTTCGATAACTCCTCTAGTTATTGAGATAGACGGTGAAAACGCCCAATTTTGCCCACCCTGTACAGTTGGGCCAATATTCCTATTCTCGCAATAGGAATGTCCAATTTTGTATTCATAAATATTCGATCATTTCCGATGATATCCCATTTTGTATTCATGATATTCGATGATATCGGTCTAATCCTACGTCCAAACTGTCTAATCCGTGTTCGGTTTTGGGAGAGTGAATTACCTCTCGTTATTGCTTTTAGATATTCATGAAATGAACTAGACAAGAACACTAATTTCTAGAAAAAATACTATTCACCATTGAAAATAACAGGTCGCTCCACCTGACGGCAACAACTTGAAAACTTCTGAGCGGTTTGTTTTGATAATATGACCAATAAGCATAAACAAAAAACAAATGTGAACCAATGAAAACAAAGTAAACAGGCCGCTTTGACAGCTTTCAAGAACTCCGATAGGTGGCTTACGCTTATTTTCCAATGCGAATGACGTTCCGCATGATGAGAAAAGGCATAGAGATTATTTTTAACACAATTCTATTCCTTCTACATTCCCCAAAATGAATTCCTAAAGAAATGCTCACGCTAGAACCCGGCAGAAACTCGTCAGTGATAATGACGTCACACGTACTATAACGCGCCGACCGTCTATAAGTAGTCGAGGAAAATTGGTAATTCATTATTCAGTGGGATGAAACTAATCTGTGATGAAACCATAGAAATCATATTATACAGGATGTTCCTTCAACGCGGTGATTCTTGGACCAATTTCAAGAATAAAACTGTCGTAAAAGTCCTAACTTTTGAGAGTTGAACATATGCTTTTCCTGATGGTAAAATTAATTCTGCTATATGACTGAAACGGTGCAAAAATTTCAAAATGTTCATACTGTGGTAATAGATGTCCTGAATGGAGTACTCAAGCTTAGTATTCACATCAAAATTTGAAGTTTGATCTCGTTTTTTCGTTTTTTCTCGAAAACGGAGCGTCCTATCGGGTATCAACAAGAAGATCTTTTTTGTACAAAATTGAATGACTTTTTATAGCATTTCATTAGATTTGGAAATATTCCATCGTTGTTCACTTTCAAGTATACTATAATCAATCATATCCCCCTAACGGCGCCATTGGTAGAGGAAAGGAAAATTTGCATACATCAAAAAATGCACCTTGATCATAGAAGATATGTATCAAATTTTATAAAGATGTCTACAATATTATCCCAGTTATTATTAAAAAACTGTTTTTTTTTTCAAAACTATATCACCCTGTAGCTCAAAAGTCAAGACTTTCAGAACATACGTTAGTGGGAAGTTTTTTTCTTGAAATGAGTTGAAGAATCACCCCTTGAATATTAGCTTGTCTTCAAGGAACACCCTGTATATACTGACGCTAGGATGCCAATGCAATAGATCAAAAGTGTGGTGAATGATATGGGCCAATCGTCAATGCGCATGTGTGAATATGATGAGAGGATATGCGTGTCAGAATATTTAAATCAGCTATTGTATGCGACTTCTTCATCAGCAATACCATGAATACTGAATTGAGAAAATTTGAACTTGAATTTACATAAAGAATGATTCAAAAATTGGTCTGATTCAACCAACTAGACCATTACATTTTTCTCTGCCAAAGTGCCATTTCTATGATAATATTCCAATTTCTATGTATGTGACTGACCTTTCATGATGAATATAATCGGTCCTTCTCAGGTAACTAGATTTGTGGGACTGAATTTGGTTTCTCATTCATCCTATATATCTCTTAGAATATACCTACTTATATCTTTTTGCCCGAAATGTTTGCTACAAATAGCATTTTTATCTTAACATATACTACAACACACATCTGTTGTCGAATCTCTTCCCACAGCGTTGTTTTAGTCGATCCAAAATTTGATGAGCACTTTTCTATCAAAAACTCAATGAGCATAAACCTAGTAACTAACGAAACATAATTAACTCCAGCGCTCTTCCCCTTGTTCTTGCACCACAAAACTAAACAAGAACTCATTGTTTATGCTGATAAAGATTTTACGAAAAAAATACTTCTGCCAGCTGCGATCACATGCACTTCTAAACTCATCAGCTTTCTGTAAAAGGTTGGGACATGGCTCGGCTGTGGACTCCTGGGATAAAAACAAGTTGATTTAGGCCAACTTACCTATATCCAAAATCGTCTCGTTGAGTTGGTACAAGGCGTTGAAGTAGCGGCCCGTCCCGCGTTGCTGGTCGGGCCGCTACGGTCCTGAAGTATGCAGTATTCGGGGCGGGACGGGGCGATTCATAAAAAACGCGGGGCGGGCTGATACATGAGTGTGAGCGAGGCAGGTCGGAATATTCAGAATATTCTTCCTCGTCATCGTATCGGGAAAATTTTCTAAATATTCGGTGATAATGTCACGATATATTAGATGGTTTCTCCAGTCATATCGATTGATAAGGGTTTAGCTTGGCTTAATAGTTTGCGAATATTACCTCTCGCAAACTATAGACTGACTTCGGAACCCTCACATCCAATATTTATATCCATCATTTTATTGGATTTGCACGTTTCTCATGAGAGTTCCTTGGTCAGTTTTCATAGTTTAATGTCAACGGATGATTTGATTAATTTTATGTTTATAAAACCCTCATGGATCCAAATTACTAATATACTGTATGTTCTACTCGTGACATGACCTCTCTCTCTCCGAGAAAACTGGACCCCAGTTTAAAATACTATCAACCTAAATATTTCGAGGATAACCTATGCCTAAAATATTCAAATGACAAAAACCAAAACATCTTGGAAATTCAGTTCACACACTCAAAAGTTTAGTGTCTACAATGCAGACTCACACCTTTACTCAGTCCGGCGCTGGCTATTCAACTGAAGCATCCTAATCAGACTCTTCTCGGTGGGACTTCTGGCAGCTTGGGGGTAGGGAATGACGATTGGGCATGGCATCCTCCAATCGTCATGGGGATTTCGGCAGGATCCTTTTGGACTCGAAGGTATCCATGTCACGAGTAGAACATACAGTATATTAGTAATTTGGAACCATGAGGGTTTCATGAACATAAAATTGATCAAATCATCCGTTGACATTGAACTATGAAAACTGACCAAGGAACTCTCATGAGAAACGTGCAAATCTAATAAAATGATGTATATAAATATTGGATGTGAGGGTTCCGAAGTCAGTCTGGTCTGGGGCTACTCTTGACTTGACAAGAGCTCGTCGTGATGGTCTTTATAATGTGAGTTGTTAATAGGTATTTATATTCATTGTTGGTTATTCACATTTATAATCACTTCACCCATAATGTTTCATGCTATTTTAAATATTGTTATGTTTGAATGTATTCTCGTACTTTCAGTTACCCCTGAACTATTAGTGCCTATTCGAATATTACCTCTCGCAAACTATTGAGGCGAGTGGACAATTTTTTTTTATTTCTTAAATAGAATCGTCACTCAAGTACCTTTCAATTTCATATATTTTTAGAATTTTTCGATCGATTTGAAGGTGCTAAATTCATCAATAATGCCACGATAATTTCCAAACGGCTAGAAATTCACCACTAGTAAAAACTGACGTCACGATTTCGCAAGTAGGGGTAGACCATAGCACTGTGGCTGTATGTCGAAATTCGATTGGGAACTTCAGTTCAATAATGCATTGGTAATTTTCCTAATTATCAATAAAAAAAAAAACAATCGTCTCAAAATGTTCTCTCATGTGTTGTGGATTATTGCTTATAAATACATTTGTGTAAAAAATAATTACTGTATTCATACACACTAGAGGACATTTGAATTGGTGAGCGTGACAACACAGCGCACGAATTGTGAGCGGTGTCAAGTAGGTTCTCAGCGTTCAGTACATTGTTGCCAATTCTTCGACATTTACGTGATATTTTGTTATGGAGTATAAGAAATATTTGTACATGCTGGTTGATCGAAAAATTTCAAGAATGAACTTTAATATCATGGCTTCCTCCTATAATGTTTTATCTCTTGTTTTATTCAACGACAATTTTTTATGACTTGATTATAATTGGTGACTTGACATTCTTGACAACCTTGCGTCATGTGTGGGAATGAAGGATTATCTGACCAATAACGAAACAGCATAAAATTTGATGTCACCATTCATTCGACGTATCGCCAAATGGCGGCCATTACGGTACGTTTGAAATGAGCTCTGAAATTCAACAATTTTGAGCAACGCGTACTCATTATTTACATAAAAAGGCGTGAGAAGTGTTAAAAAAATTAAATTAGGCCCCTAATGACACAGTGGAGTAATCGAATGCCAATAATTCATTATCAGTTCACTCGTCCATTGAAGCTCTCGTGGTATTATAAGTGGAAATTTATGCTTTGCAACTTTTGATAGCTATTATCTCGGCTATTATACTTGTAAGATTGGAAACGTAAAATATGGGGCGCATGCAGATGTTTTTCCCATATGATGCCAACTCCATGAAAGACCCTGTATATCACTTTCCAATCAATGTTCGAAAATCTGCACCCCCTGTAGGTAGTAGTAATATGTTTTGTGGAATACCTGCTTTTTGTGAATACAGATTGGAAAATGAAGAGGAAGGAGTACCGTCCACTGCCATCAGAGAAATATCGCTGCTCAAGGAGTTACGGCATCGCAATGTGGTGTCGCTCGAAGATGTCATGATGGAAGAACAAAGGTGAACGTATTATACAGGGTGTATCAAAAGTCAGTATCAAGATTTCGGAAGCTTTGTAGTGAAATCTCAGTAGTTTCCTTTCTTGGGGATTTCAATTGAATACCTACTTTCAATATTAATGGATAGATGTCTATGTCTGCCTGTTGCCTCAAAATGAATAATATACTTTTCCTACAAACGCCAAAAAATGACAAGTTTCGTGCATTAATAACAATATACAAAGTGACCTTTTTTTATTTTTCTATTTTACCACGAAACGGTGCGCGATATAATATGCAAAATTGATATTTCGCGCACTGCCTGTGAACCTATAAGATTTTTGTATTTCTACCTATTTAAAAATCCATGAAATCATTCATTTCTAAATGTTTAACAATATAAAGTGAGGCATATTAATTGTATATATTGTTTTATAAAAAAAAATGGTTAACAGCTCGTGCTGGAAATAGTTTGGTGATTGAGCAGCTGAGTTGAAAAAACAGTCGAGATTACCAAAGTAAAACGCGCATGAGTTGTAAACATTTTTTTTTCGTCTAGTGAAGTCAGTTTCCATTAGGACACGCTGAATTTCTTCTTTCAAAGTTGGTAATGGTAACGTCAAACTGGCAGGCACATCAGTTCATATACCATCTGTCAAATTAGAGAATGAACATTCAAATGTTCTTTCATTGTTACCAACTACTTATTACTTCATATATTTTTAATATTATGGAATTTTTTTGAATGAAAGAGGTACAAATGGATGCAAAATGAAAATAAATAGTATGTGCTGGTTAAGTGGAAGAGCATTATTTGCCGATATTCTTATCTGTAAATTGAACCATTTGAACTCCAACGCTCTGTAGATCGGAAACAATGCATGCAGAAAAATAAGTCCCTTAAATCTTGATACTGAATTTTGAAAAGATCTGTTTTTGTATAAACGTCGAATTTGACAGATTTAATAATAAAAGGAATGATCAAAACAGAAAAAATGCAAGAAAATGAAAAAACACAAGCCGATCGATATACAAAATTTGCCTTATTTTCGAAATTTGCGTAAACTAAATAATAACAAAATTCTATCGATTCCAAACCAAAAGCAAATAACATTATTCTACTGTTAAAGTTAACCGAACACGAATCATAGAAAATGTTGATAAAAGTGACTAAAAACATATACACAATTCTCTATATTTCTGTCTCGCAACCCTTGATGTGAATCTACCTCTGTAGCATAGACTTTTTCCTTAAGATACGACCAAACTGAGTCTCATAGGCTGGGTGACCTCTCGATCACGGCGACCTAGAAGATCTATTGTGATTACCCTTATCTAGTTTTGGTCCTCTAAAAACATTCCAGAATTATTCGAACAAAAATTGATTCCTAATCAGCAAACAAGTTCTGGTCCTGGAAAAAATACATAAAATACATATTCCAACTCACAAGTTCAAAGTCACAAATACTAAAATACATATTGAAACTCCTGAATTGCCTACACATAAAAAATACTCAAAATACTTTTTTTTTGTTACTCTGACACAATTAAAATCACCAATTTCTCATAAAAAACATCAATCTCCCTCTTAAACATACATTTTTATTTTATTTTGGAATTGGCTAAAGATAGGAATATCTTTAATATACTGTGGCAGAATGTTTCTATACATTTGTTCAGTTGGCTGTTTAAAGCTATGAAGCCTAGAATTTTCCTGACTGTTGAATTTTTCACCTCAGAAGGCGTGAGATAGACCTGTTCTAGGTGATTCAGCCTTTGGCGGACTAGTACTTTACATGAGCAAAGTATGTGTTCCCCGGTTTCGGTCGCATTGTTGCAAAAGCGGCATGTTTCAGTCTCCGCCAGACCCATCTTTTTAAGGTAGTACCTCAGAGGGCAGTCTCCTGTGAGAAAGCCTGTGATAAGCTTCAGCTCTGGCATAGATCTAAATATACACATTTAGATCTATGGCTCTGGTTTTATGAGGCTGAGTAGATCTTTGGCTCGGTTCTGCGAATGTTTGATGAACCTTTCCGCTTGTCGTTGACCTGGAGTTGCTCTCCAGTAGAAGGACTTTTCAATTTCTTCCCATTTTCTTTCTGCCTTTAGGTGACATTTACTTGTTCCACAAAAAGGCTTAGGACCAAAGAGTGCAGTTTCTGCACCTTTCTTTGCATGGCGTTCAGCTGTCTCATTTCCTTTGATTCCTTCATGCCTTGGAACACAGATAAGGGTGACTTTGTTGTCCTTTCCCAGTTGCATGAGTGTTTCAAAGCAGTTCCATGTAATATTTGAGGTAAAAAAAGATTTGATATACAACCATATATGTAATGTTGTCATTCCCGCCCTCACTTCATTTTCTAATTCGGCATAAAAAGTGTAGTATATACCAAAAATAATTCCGTTTAGAATACAATATTAAAGCAGCATCTTAGGGCTATTCAAGAGGATCCACCATCCGCAGAAGCAGAGTCATATTTCTAACTTTTGATAAATTGTCGTCAAATGTAATATTTTAGGTATGTTCAGAACGAAACAGAGATTTATTAATGTTGATCGAATTGTGATGGTTGTAAATAAAATAGTATACAAACCTCGGTAGGAAGTTTCATTCCTGTCCCGAGATCATAGCTAACCTCGACGCTTTGAGTCTCGGTTAACTAACTAATCTCACGAGAATCACTTCCCACCTCGGTGTGTAATATACTATTAGGGCTTTTAGTGCGGCTAGGCTGTCTGAGCAGACATATATGTTGGCCCCCTCATTCCTTTGCTCAGGAACTTTTAGGCGCATAGGTTGATGGCATGTATTTCAGCTTGGAAGATAGGGGGGGAGTGGCCTAAGGCTTCAAATAAACTAAATTCCGGTCCATATACACTCGCGGCTACTCCTTCCATTTTCGAACCATCGGTGTGCCAAACAAGGGACCATCTGTCCAGCAGAGGCTCAGCGGAACCTTACCTAGGGCGAATTATCATAACCACTCCAAAGGCAGGATTGAAACTGAGCCTGGCTGGCATTAAGTCCGATGGTTTGGTTGCTGATTCCATTTGTACTTATTGTAGAATGACCATGTGACCAGTGACATCATCGGGTCTGGCCAGTGGTGTTGTTTGACATTTAATTCTAATTGAGAATCAATCACAACGCGGCAAGAGTACAGGCAATAAATGATCGTAGAAAAAATAGTGTATGCAACGAAAATGGCTATTAATTTCGATTTTCTGATGAAAAATAATTCAATTCTTATAGGCTGTATCTGATATTCGAGTTCTTGTGCATGGATCTCAAGAAATACATCGACAAAATAGAGTCCGGCAAGTTCATGGACCCGAAGTTGGTGAAAAGTTATCTCTATCAAATCAACGAGGCCATTTTGTTCTGCCACCAGAGGAGAGTCCTGCACAGGGATTTGAAACCGCAAAATCTGCTCATTACGAAAGATGGTGTTATAAAGGTAATGATAATAATAATAATAATAATAATCAATTTTTCTGTTAATTTCTTATGAGCTCATTTTGAAACTAGGGTTAAAATGATTGAAAATTTCAAATGAAAAATTCACACCAAACATTTTCGACCAATAAGTCTGTATTTTGTATACAAGACAAATGTTCCCAATTGTTCATAAATGCCGATGCGTCCGAAATTTTGGAGTGATTGGTTCTGCCTTTCTCCAAAAAACACTTCAGAATACAATAATTTTCCAAATCTTAATTTAATAATGTCTTTTCAATAATGTTTTCGTCATCATGATGTTATAGCCACTTCTATATCAACTTTATTAAAACTATGACTGATGACCATTTGAATGGACGAAACATATCTCAATCAAAAGTAATGAACCAGAATTGACTGCACATTTCGCCAGTGAAGTTGTGGAGACGACTTCGGGTTTTTTACCTCGTTGATCATCCTCCATTTCGAGATTGTACTACTTTAAAAGATTCTGTTCTTTTTGTTTTGGTTACTTCAATTTATCAGAATCGGAACAACCAATATTATTTATTTGTGTGGAAATGAAAAGAAACCTCGATGTAGAACTTTTGGCAGTTTCTTCACAACATCTTGATACACAATTTCAGTACCACGCCCATAGAGTACTTGATCATCCATCCTGTATATCGGTCAAATAGTGAGCTAGTCGACTGGCTGCAATACTAATCGTCAATAACAGTATATTTCGTGTAAAAATTGTTAGATAATGTTTATTCATGAATTTTTCTAAAGTTGTAAACTCCACAAACGACAAAATCGAGCTGTCAGCTAGTGTTCGACTTCATTTATATCAATTTAATGTTCATTCTGCTGTTTTATATTGGTTTTACTCACTTCTGGTTTTTTGTTTGAAACCGTGTAACATAATATAGAAAATCCTCGATGGAGAACTCTCCATAGCTTCTAAAATGATATACCGGCAGTATCCGTAAAAGTCTGTGCGTTAACAGCATCTAAATACACAATACCAGTACCACGCCCGTGGAATATTTGATAATCCATCGCGTGTACCGGTTAAATTGTGAGCTAGTCAAGTGGCTGTGATACTGATCGTCAAAACGCATTGGAAATCCTGTGAACCGACATCTATATAACAAATAGCGTCTATCATTTCGTGTAAACATTGCAGGTAGCCGAGTCGGGTCTCGGCCAAGACTTTGGCGTTCCTGTGCGCGTTTACACACCCACGAATGGTCACCCTGTGATACAGGGCGACACAGGTGATACAGGGCGACACAGGTGCTTCTAGGCTCCGACAGGTACTCCTACCCCATCGACGTCGGGTCGATGGGTTTCATCTTCGCCGAGATGGCCACCAAACTCCCTCTCGTTTTAAGTAACAATCTTTATTTACAATCAGTTGAAAACTTTGTGGACTTCTAAATACTTGATTACATAGAATTGTAGTATTCTATGGATGTTTCGCGAAGTCTTGCTAGATCATGTTTATTTATGAATTCATTTAAAATTGTGAATGCTACCAAAGCCAGCATAAGACTGTTAGCTATCGTCTTGAAATTGAGTTAGTCGTTGATGTCCTTGTAAAGAAACAATCATCTGTGACACTGTGTAGCTTTTATTTTGAGTTTATTTATATCAATTCAATGTCAATTCTGCTGTTTTCTATGTGTTTTGGACACTTTTGGTTGTTTATCAGAATCTGAACAAGCATTATTATTTATTCCTGTGGAAATGAAAAGAAACATCGATGTAGAACTCTTGGCAGACTCTTCGATGATATTCCGGCAGTATCCTTGAAAGTCCTTGAAATTACAGCATCTCAATACACAATTCCAGTACCACGCCCATTGCATTCTTGATAATTCATTGCACATATCAGTGAAATTGTGAGCTAGTCGACTAGCTGCAATACCAATCATCAAAACGCATTGGAGATCCTGTTTGCTGGAAATGTCATCCTACATCTGTATAACAAAATGAACAAAAACTTAGAAATAGAACTCTCGTCAAATGATATTCCGGCAGTATCGGTGAAAGTCCAGGAGATGGCAGCACCTAAATACACAACTCAAGAACCACGTCCATTGAATACTTGGTTAAATTGTGAGCTAGTCAACTGGCTTCAGTCTCAATCGTCAAAACGCATTGAAAATCCTGCATGCCGGCAATGTTTTTTCACAACCTCATAACAAATAGCGAGTATTATGTCCTGTGAAAATTGCAGGTAGCCGATTTGGGTCTTGGCCGAGCTTTCGGCGTTCCTGTGCGTGTTTACACCCACGAAGTTGTCACCCTTTGGTACAGGGCGCCCGAGGTGCTTCTGGGCTCCGCCAGGTATTCCTGCCCCATCGACGTGTGGTCGATGGGCTGCATCTTCGCCGAGATGGCCACCAAGCGGCCCCTGTTTCAGGGGGATTCTGAGATCGATCAGCTGTTCAGGATTTTCAGGTGAGCTTTTAAGGCTATATTTCGAATTCAACTGTCAGTATTCCCAGTTATACCATTGCTGCAATCCTGCTGTTCCGAAGTAGTTCAGTATTTACAGTGAGATTTTTCAAAGGTAATGATACACATTTACTCACATTCCTTAGGAATGATATGTTTTGAATAAAACGAATAAAAAGTAAGATAATCCGTAAGTGAACCAGCAACTGATTATTTTTCAAGGGTTTTCATGTTGACAAATTGATGACAAATCAAGCAAACCAGCTGAGATTTAATGATCAGATTGTATTAATGTCTTGATTTGTGTAATTTTCTATGATAATCATAAATTGATCACGTTATGTAACCAACTATAATCATTTTATGACTTGAAGATATGTTCACACAAATTTGAGCTGTTCATATTCAGAATTGATAGTACATCTACTCTCGAGATCTGTCACTTTCAGTGAATGATTTTGGAATGGAAAATCATCAGATTCCGTACTGACCCAGTTGAATTCGGAATAGGTTTGATGTGAATGATGTTGATGCTGTTGATTGAAGAAGAAAGTTCAATACAATTTCAACCTAAATCTACGTCAAGTTGGGGTTTTTCTGGGCGATGACCACATAGTAAAGGTGAAGGAAAGTATACAGGGTGAAATACCTGAACTATCTTTAGTCCTCCAGCTAAACTGTGTATGCCAAAAGTCGTCACCAACTTTCTTATTATTGATAGAAACCTATTTTTTTGTTTCACTTGGCCTTCTAATTCTGAGTTTAGACAACCTATTTTCTAAGTCAACTGATCTATCACAGTTTCCGAGATATGTCGATTTTTCTATAAATAATTATCGTCCTAGTAGTTTATGCAAAAATGTATCATATGGAGCAAACATTTATAATAAGAGCACCAACTTTGTGGAACAGTTAGCTGGAATGTCCTATCAATTATCCAGTTTTGTACCATACAGGCGCGTGAGATTCTCAAATGACGCCTTGAAAGATTGCTGGAAACTCAACTTTTCACCTACTTTTCTTTGACACCTAATCAAGAGTTATTGAATTTGAGAATTTTTCGAATTCGACATTTGAAAATTTGCCCACCCACGCTCAAAATCGATTTTTCATAACAAGTTGAACTCTGAAAACTACACATTTCTGGACCTATACTCTTAGAATCACCCAAGAAAACCGCTCCTTGGAGTTTGATCACATGATTGATATCTTGTAGGTACAGTTCTTAATTTGACACCGAGTTTGAGACGTATGTATACAGGTGGTCCCAGGATAAACTACATGTTTTTTTTTTCTAGGCACTACATACAAATTGATACGAAATCATCATTCCCCACCTTGAAAAAACTTTAGGTACTAAATTTCCTGTAAAAAACTGATTTTTTGCAAAATTAATTTTAAAAAAATGCAAATCTTTGTTGAAGTCTCACATTCCACTGAAGTTATGAGTTGTACAGGGCTAGTTTTATTAATGTGAACCCCTCTGAATCTTTTTTGGCTTCCACCCATTGAAAAAAATTGTATACAGATTTTATACAATTATTTTTCATATAGGTTCCAATCATAGTGACTGTGTTGCAATATCTCTTCAAATATACAGGATATTCGGAAAATATATATACTTTTTGGAACAGAATGCGCTGTATATTTTGATAGATATAAATTCCTTATATCATATATTCAGAATCAGGATGGATCCAAATCAATCAAAATATACAGCGCATTCCATTTTTCTGTATACCCTGTATATTTGGAGAGATATTGCATCATTGCCAATATGAGTGGAATCTGTATAAAAAATTGTATAATATAAGCTCTATTTTTTTAATGAGTATGAAACAAAAAAGATAAAGGTTAATAAAACTAGCCCTGTACAGTAAGCATTAGGAGATTAGGTGGTTTAAAAGGAAAACAATTAGATACTTGTAAATAGCATATATTATAGGTCAGTGAAAAAGGAATTTTCCCTAAATTGATACAGGTTTGAATCAATAGTCTAATTATTATGTCCGATATTATGTAATTTGTAAAACTATAATCACTTGTTACTAGTAAGAGAGGTGTTCCTAAATCTTTATGTTTTTTGGAACGTTATAAATTCATTCATTCATATTGCAGTCTGATGGTGGCCGTTGTGCCGAAACCGGTTACTTTTTGATTGATTTATTTTCATTGAGTATTTAATAAATGTTTTGGGATCTTGTTCAAAAAATAATTTCAATAAAATATCAACATTTGATATAGAAACTCCTTGAAAGTACTGTATCATCAAAATTGGGATAGAGTATTATTTTGATGAGGAATTCTGAAATTCATAATCATGAAACTAGACAATCATCTTGACGTCGCTAGCTCCATACTCGGACAAAGATTAACTCATTCAGGCTCAAATGAATTCAATAAACTATCTGTCAAAAGCAAAAACTGCAGAAATATAGGTATGTATTTTTTCCCTACAAATATTATTCTTTGTTTGCCAATTCATAATTGTTGGTGTATTTTGAATGATGAAATGTTTACCTATAGGTATATAATAGGCAATTTCACTATGATAGAAAATAGCCCTTTTTAGATTCAATTTAATAATTTTTTTCTGGGTCAACCGCAATCGTAAGAAAATTTAAAAAATGCAGTTTGTGTTCTAAATGTTCTAAATCGTGAAAAAAAATTCAAAAGACCATGGTTAAATTCCCTATTATGTACTTCCTTATACCCAGGTCCTATTCTGTCTGGAAGTTATGTGTTCAATAAATAAATAAAATAAGTAACATAGAGTATTCCAAACATTCTCATTTCCTTCAATCCGTACAGGGTGTTGAAGACTCCCACCGAGGAAATATGGCCGGGTGTGTCTTCGTTGCCCGACTACACAGGAACCTTTCCCAATTGGACGAACTACAATCTGCCCAGCCAAGTAAAGAATTTGGACAACGACGGGGTGGATTTGCTCAAGCAAATGCTGGTCTACGACCCTGCCAAGAGGATTTCCGCCAAAAGGGCGGCAGCGCATCCCTATTTCGAGGATGTGGATTTGACGGTCAAACCGGTGTTCTTCGAGAAGGATGGCAAGAGCACTTAACAGAAGGATAATCGAATTTAGTGTTTTATTTATTCAAGGATATTGATCTTATGGATCACTTGTGTTTTATTTTAGTTGGGCGTTTTTTCAATGGATATTTTTTACTTTTGATAAATAACAGTGATTGCGTTGATATGCAGTTTCATTCATTCATTCATCGGTTCTCAAAAATATCGTTTCTTTGGTTACTTTTTATATTCCGCGTCGACCTTCTACTTTTAAAGTGCATTCGTTCTAGCAATAATAATCATTTGAAATTAAACTTCCCAGGCGCGTTTTTTACTTCAATGTGATAAATTTTGATATACTAGACGACGATTTTGTTCGGAAATTCGATGTTTTAACTCTGGAACTACATTATACCGGGTGACAGGAGACATGTAGCAGCCTGTAATTTTTTATTTGAAGAGATAAAATTTTTATTTTTTCAGGGGGTATATAATGAATGGTAGCGCACTTTACGAACTTAACAACAAATTTTTTCAACCACCTGTTTGACCGGAAGTGACCCCAACTTTTTTTTCAAATGTCACCCTGTACATTTCTTCAGTCTTTCTTTTTTGCCTTGAAATTCTCTATCCAACCATGTATCACAAAGTGGCATTCATTTCTTGCTGTTGAATTGCAGCGAATTGAGAAATGAATGCCACTTTGTGATACATGGTTGGATAGAGAATTTTAAGGCGACAAAGATAGACTGAAGAAATGTACAGGGTGACATTTAAATAAAAAAAGTTGGGGGTCACTTCCGGTCAAACAGGTGGTTGAAAAAAATTGTCGTTAGTTAGTAAAGTGCGCTACCATTCATTATATACCCCCTGTAAATTTCAATATTTTATCTTCTCAAATAAAAAAACTACAGGCTGCTACATGTCTCCTGTGTCACCCGGTATATTTTTATAGAATTTGTTGGACATGAACAAGATGAAAAATTGATGGCAAGAGTACTCAGCAGGACAATTAGATGAATTTAGTGTTTTATTTATTCAAGTATTTCAATCATTCAGATCATTTGTGTTTTTTATTAGTTAAGCGTTTTTTCAATGGATATTTTTTACTTTTGATAAATAACAGTGATATCGTTGATATGCAGTTTCATTTATTCATTGGTTCAATAATCCTGGTTCATCTTTGGTAGAAGTCCATATTGCTCAAAGTGAAATATTTCACAGGAAGGAAGGAGCATTCCTTCCTGTGGAATCATGGTTCAGTCCCCACGTTCATTTCAAATAAAACTCCCCAGACGCGTTTTTCACTTCAAATTGACCGTTTTCGATACATTCTGATATTCAAGTCGACGATTTTGTTCGGAAATTCGATGTTTTATCTCTGGAACTACATTATACAAGGTGATTCTAGAATAGGTGGTCTAACTTTGGGAGTATACAGTGTGTCCCACTTACCATGCTCACCATGGGTATCTTTTTAACGGTGAGAGATACAAAGTCGGTTAAATGACACCAAATGTGGAGTTTGTCAAGGCCAACTATAATGTGGAAAAATATTTCGATAAAATCTATTCGTTTTTGTTTTATACGCAAAAAACAGATTTTGATCATTTTCATGTCTCCTCCGTAACTTCTTTATTCATGGAAATATTCAAATAGGAATTTCACATCCACATGGCAGTTTTTCAAAGTGATTTCGAGGAAAATATGAAATTCATACCAACTCTTCTATAATTTGAGATATCAGCACCAACTTTAGTTTTTCAAATGTAGGTCATAGCTCACTATGACTTAGTTACAAATAACTTTTTTTCCTCTTACAGATGATATATCACAGTAATATTTTTGTGTTGATAACAACGGAGTTATCGTCATTTATAAAAAAAAAAAGAAATTATTCGGAAGGTGCCATCTTGAATTTATAAATTTTAACAGAAAAATCATGATCCCCGACCTTAAAAACCCCCACTTACCATTTTTGAATGGAATCGGACCAAATCTTGTCCGCCATCTTGGAGCAGCCATTTTTTTCAATTTCAACAAAAATTCCATAATGTATTGTCACCGAAACTATGAACACCTGCCAAATTTCAAGTTAATTGGAGTTATAGAATTTTTGTGAAATTAAAAAAAATGGCTGCTCCAAGATGGCGGACAAGATTTGGTCCGATTCCATTCAAAATTGGTAAGTGGGAATTTTTGATGTCGGAGATCATGATTTTTTTGTTCAAATTGATAAATTCAAGATGGTGGCTTCCAAATAATTTTTTGTTTTTTTATAAATGACGATAACTGACGTTGTTATCAACAGAAAACTATGACTAGGACATATCATCTTTGAGAGGAAAAAAAGTTATTTGTAACTAAGTCATAGTGAGCTATGACCTAGATTTGAAAAACTAAAGTTGTTGCTGATATCTCAAATTCTAGAAGAGTTGGTATAAATTTCATATTTTTTTCGAAATCACTGAAAAATTGCCATGAGAATGTGAAATTCCTATTTGAATATTTTCATAAATACAGAAGTTACGGAGGAGACATGAAAATGATCAAAATCTGTTTTTTGCGTATAAAACAAAAACGAATAGATTTTACTAAAATATTTTTTCACATTATAGTTGGCCTTGACAAACTCCACATTTGGTGTCATTTAACCGACCTCGTATCTCTCACCGTTAAGAAGATACCCATGGTGAGCATGGTAAGTGGGACACATTGTATAGAGTGAGTGAAATAATTACGAAAACCTCGGTAACATTTTTTTCTGAAGTGCCCTCCAAGAAAGATACAGCCCCTCAGGGCCTCGGAGAATGATTTTAAATTATTATCTCCAACACCTTGTATGATGTAAATCTAAAATTTTGTTCATTCACTAACTATTCAGTGCCGGTTCGAATGGAGTTAAAATCACCTCAACATTAAATACGGGGGTGTGTCAAAATAGGGAGGTAGGGGGTAAAAATAACCCCAACTTTATTGTTCGTCGCAATTTCAGTTTTTTTTAAAAGGAAATTATGAAATCTCAGGGCTATCAACATAAAAAAGGAGCTCTTGTTGAATCTCCATAAAATGAACCATCAGGGAATAAAATTTATTTTTCCAAGATTTCATTTAAATTGCAATTTTGGTGTGCACTTATAAGTTTAATTATCTAGTTCAAATCTTCCAACTGAATTTCTACTTACTTCTAATCGTCTGATCAACTTGGAATCTGGCAGATGACAGTTGACAACGCATTATGGACTTTTTAAAAAAATATGGCGGCTCAAATGTGGCTGTCCAGATTTGTGATTATGGTCCGATTCGATTCAAAATTGGTTTGTAAGGGTTTTTGGGGTAGTACATTTTGAATTCGTTGTCGGAATTCATGAATTAAAAATAGACGACGAGTTTCGTGATTATGTTCTGATCCTATTGAAAATACTGAAATAAAATAAAAACAAGTTTTTATTATTTTAACTATTTTTTTCTACCTTATTTTATTATATTTTCATACAACATAACTCCAACAAAATGGAACGTAGAATTTAACACTGAGTTAGAGCGCATAGCAGGAATGTAAGAGAGGGATGATGAAGTTTTTGATTAGTGAGATTCTGGAGAGAGGCAAGCTCTATCATGATGAAATAGTGAGAGATCCGCAACATTTCTTCAGCGTAATAAGAATTTTCTAATGACTTGCTGGTTAATCATCATTTCACTCCTCAAAGAGTCCTCCATTTACTGCTATGCTCTCTAACTCAGGATTAAATTCTACGTTTCATTTCGTTGGGGTTATGTTGAACTGAAATGTAATAATATAAGGTAGAAAAAATCAGTGACAATAATGTTTCTATTGAAATGCTTCAGGAAGTGGAAGAAGATTTCTTCATATATGTAAGCTATCGAATACCTTACTCACAGAATAACTTACGTGAGATATCCAAAAGCATTTTTCTCTCATTTTCAGAGCATTTGAATAAAGGCTTGTCTTTGTTCACATTATTTCATCTTCAATTCTTTATTTCAATAGTAGAAGTAATAAAAGCTTGTTTTCAACAATATTTTTTATTTTATTTTTAATAGGATCAGTCCATGATAACAAAACTCGTCGGCTATTTTGATTTCACGAATTCCGACAACAAATTCTAAATTTCCAACCCCAAAAACCCTCACATACTAATTTTGAATCGAATCAAACCATATTAATCACAAATCTGGTCAGCCACATTGGAGCCGCCATAACGCATTGTCAACTGTCATCTGCCAGATTCTAAGTTGATCAGACGATTAGCAGTAGGTAAAAATTCAGTTGCGAGATTTGACCAAATAATTCAACTTAAGTACATATCAAAATCGCAATTTAAATGAAATCTTGAAAAAATATATAAATTTTATTCGCTAATAGTTCATTTTATCGAGATGCAACAAGAGTACCTTTTCTATGTAAATAGGCATGAGATTTCATAATTTCATGTCAAAAAACTGAAATTGCGATGAACAAAAAAGTTGGGGTTATTTTTACCCCCTACCTCCCTATTTTGACACACCCCTGTATTTAATTTTGAGGTGATTTGAACTCCATTCGAACCGGCACTGAATAGTAAGTGGATGGGCAAAATTTCAGATTTTCATTATACAAGGTGTTGGAGATGATAATACAAAATCATTTTCCGAGGCCCCCCTTTGAGGAGCTGTATTTTTCTTGGGAGTCACTTCAGAAAAACATGTTACGGAGGTTTTCGTAACTATTTCACCCATTATATGCTCCCAAAGTTTGACCACCTATTTTAGAATCACCTTGTATATTTGTATGAAACTTGGTGGACATAAACAAGGTGAAAAATGTTGTGTAAAGAAGATGGCAAGAGTACTCAGCAGGACAATTATTTGAATTTAGTGTTTTATTTATTCAAGTATTTCAATCGTTCAGATTATTTGTGTTTTTGTATATATTTTTTGATTTTGATTAAGTTGAATTGCGTTTTCATTCATTCATTCATTGGTTCTCAAAAATATCGATGCTTTGGTTATTTTTTATTTAGCGTCGACCTTCTACTTCCTAAGTGCATTCGTTCTAAAGGGCTTTCACACAGGGTTGATAGTGACGTCAATATGTCATCACATACAGTGTTGCCAGTTGAAAGGAAATGGCTGAATGACCAACCGCCCGAATATGGATATGTCTAGTGTTACGATCGTCGGACGTTATAATGTTTTTTGAAACCAACTCAAAAGCCGTCCATTCATGTTTCAAAATCAGCACTTGAAGTTGATAAATGAACTTCAATATTTTTATTTAATGAACCATGAACCTAAACAATAAACTGAGTATGGAATTTAATGATAATGAAATTCTTATAAAGAATAATAACTTGAAGAATGATTTATTATATAACATCAACAAACAATCACAGATATTGACATTAAAAATAACTTACTTTTCTACCAGTACCAATACACAATTATGTCTTGAATTCATTTTTTTAAATAAAACTGATCAGTATTCACATTCACTGAGTGAAAATAATAAAAACTTCGAATTCAATTTTGAGGTTATCTAATCGTTTTGAATGTTTTTAAATTACTATAAATTGGTGAAATGATATTGGATCAATTGATTTTATTTCGTGGTAATATAAATAGTGGTGCATCTACTTATATTGAAAATTATGAAATAGACAGCAACAGTTGTTCTTACTTCTTCTCAATATAATTCAAGAGGAAAACCCAAAAAAACTTATGAAACCACTATGTCATTACAATAAACTAATACTATATAATACAATTTTCTAACCCTAATCTACAGATATAATCTTACACTAAATAATACAATTTTCTAACCCCAATATATAGCAGCATATACCACCATCTTCTGCGCCTCCGCACTCAATGGTTTAGGCATTTTGAATAAATCGAATTTCACCTATGATCCACAAATAAATCACAAACAATTCCTTGAAAGTACACATTGTCAGTAATGAATGATTCCCAGAGATCAGCTGATCACAACCAATCGCTTCTAGAAATGTCAAATAAATCTGCCATCGGTGTACAGTTTTGCCAACTTAAATCAATAACGCGGTTCGACCATTTCGAAAGTTACTAGTATATTTCGATGTGCAGTTTTGGCACGACATTGTTGCCAAGTATTGCGCAACTATCAACCCAGCGTAAAAGCCCTTTAGTAATAGTCATGGTTGAGACCCGGCGTTCATTACAAATAAAACTTCCCAGACGCGTTTTTCACTTCAACGTGACCGATTTCGATACATTCTGATATTCAAGGCGACGACTTTTCTTTTGAACTTTTCTGTAAGACCAATGCTGAGATGGCTATTGAGTAAAATATAAACAATCGCCCTGTATGTACATACATACCAACGAAGTTCAGGGTGGGCAAAATTGTGCGTTTTAACGGGATATCTCAATTACCCAGGAATTTATCGAAAAACCTATACACATGTTACTGGTTTGATTTCAGAGAAACCTAATATGGCGCAATTGGAATTTCGATATCTTCATTCGTTTCAGAAATACAGGGAGGCATTGACAAATTGCCAATTTCACTTTATTTTCTGAGCCACTCTATGGTGGTTGATATCGAAAAGTTTCGATCGTTCATCCATAGAGTATGATGCGAACAATCCATTGCCATCATTAGAAATGTTATACAGGGTGCCATTAAAAAGGAACGGCAGCCAATATCATTTTTTCCTATAAAACAGCCCGTATATTTTGGCACAGTTGGATAGTCCCAAGCTTTCCGATTACAAATACATAATATGTAAACCTATCTTTTTTTCCCCACAATTTATGAAATATCCGCGGAAATATATTCAGTGTGTGACATTTTTCATGGTTGCACTTCTGTATCTTCCGTAATAATCATTGAGGTTGGATTCATAAATTTGCAAATTCGAGAGAGATTCCAATGATACACTCAAGGACCAAGTGGGACCATCCCAAGTGATAACCAGTGGCGGCTCGTGACTCATGACAGAGGAGACTGAATGATATGAGATTTATTGTGAAAAACAACTCTACTCACCCAAATTAATAGCTTTAATGGAATTCTGTTTTTCAAATCATATCCTAATCGCCCCCAACATGATGACTTATCGGTTGAAAATAATACGCAGATCCCTCAGATCCCGTCATTCAGATATATTTCTTATAATTATCAGAATTGAACGAACGATTTTGTTTGTTACCTGTTACAATCAGATTTTTTAATTCCGGTGTCGGACGTTTGTTTTTCACAATCAATTTATCTTCATAAGACAAAGCACTGAATGGGTTCACCAAAAAGTATTCCACTAAATCGCAATCGTTTAAAACACTTATTTTTCAGAAATTTATACAGCCCCTAACCATTTAACTAACATACACATAAACAATGCACTCGCGTTTGTCCGCAATTCGCGAAGCGATACGACAAACACGTGCTATTCAGGCATTTGCATTGCGCGCGTAGGTTCGGCAATGTGAAGGAGTCTAGCCTCCTATAGATGTTGCCAAGTTGAATATTTTACGCGTGATTTGCAGACTTCAACGTGTGATGCGTGGGCAAGCACTGTTGCCAATTCAAAAATATTTAACTAAAAACAGAAAATAAAATCAAAATTCATGTATTTTGGTGTCCTTTCAATGAGAAAATATAAATAATATTAGTTTAAGGGAAATCTCTGATGAGGCTCAGCCTCCGTTGCCTCCTCTGAGGAGCCGCCACTGGACTGATAACACTGCTCGCCAGCAGTTATGGAATTACCGACATTTCTGGAAAATAATATCATGAGGTAGAATATAGGTTGAAAATGACACTCTGTATATATTAACCAACAGAAGAAAATAAATATCAATAAAAATTCAATTTAAATATTCTATTTCCAGACAAATGATTATTTGGTATGAAATAAAATTAGAAATTATTCGATTTGATATCATTGTTATCAACTCATTAAAACTATTTAAGACACAGAAATAAGACAAATAATTTACTCAATTGGGAAATTAGTAGGCTATTTTGAATAAAAAAATTGACATATAAGGATGAGTCAAGAGGAACTGTACTTACTCTCACCACCAATAGTGGCCCCTGAGAGGAATACCTAATATCCATCATAATGTCCACGTGCAGGTTAGCCTTTGTGGATCTACTCTGTATTTATTTACTTCCAGAAACTGCCAAATGCCATGTTATATATAAAATTTCAAGTGAGATATAATTGGAAGAAATGTGAATGTATGATATCATATTTATTATGTGTGGTGGATTAATATTATTATTATTATTATTATTATTATTATGTGTCTTCTTCACTTCTATTCCAATATACAGGGTGTTTCCTAACTACGGTTCCTAACTACAGGGGGTGATTTGTTAGGTCATTTCAAGAAGAAAAGTTCCTATGAACATATTATGTCCGGAGTTGTGAGATACAGGGCGTTGAAATTAAAGAAGACAAACGATAATTATAAAATATCATGAATATTCTGGAACCGATTTGATTGAAATTTGGTACCTACTTTTATTTGTCAAATTTTCTAAAATTTCAGCATATCAAGTGTCAATTAAATTTTTGGCGGAAATAATGAAAAACTCATTCCTCCAATGCAGGTGTTCATGATATGCAATACAGTGGCTCTGATTTTTTTTCTCGAAAACGAAGCTGGATATGAAGAGAATGCAAGAGACCAAAAAGTTGAATTTTGAGTTGCTCAATCTGAACAAAATGAAAATTTACCAAAAAAAGTCAGTGGCGTACTTTTTTTCACAATATTGTTGGTTGTGGTGCCCACTGAGACGCCACTGGCCCCAATAATTTCAATCTGAATAGGTCTAAATAAGCGCCTTATTCAACTGAAAGTACCAAATTTCAACCAAATCGGTTCGAGGATATTCATGATATTTTATAATTACCGTTTTTTTTCATTAATTTCAACGCCCTGTATCTCAGAAACGAAGCAACTCCGGACATATGTTAATAGGAACTTTTCTTCCTTAAATGACCTAACGAACCACCTGTTAGGAAACACCCTGTATAGGGTGAATTATGATATTTGGCAAAAACATATTTTGGTCATAACTTTCCAACAGCTTCTTCAATTCATCTGATTTGTTCATGGAATATTTTGCTACTACCCTCTAATCGACTGACTTATTCAGAATCAAAAAAATCCAGGACCGTTCTTGGAAAATTTTGATAGTTCAGTTTATAGCAAAAAGTTCATCCTGTGTATCGTTTTTGTAATCTGAGACAGAAAATTTTCAACATCAAGAATAAAATATTTCAAATTTTCCTCACACTGTAGTTTGAAAAAAACTAAATTTTATGAAAAAACGAAAATTCGTCAAAACATGTATTTATTTGGAAATTGATACTTCGCAATCCATATATTTTACGAATAAAAGTGAGACTTATATTTTCAATACTTCAGCTCAATGGAAATCAACATATCACTTTATTTCCATCCTCGATTTAGTGATTCAATTTCAATTCAATTCAAAAAAAGATGATGTGTTGTCACATTATCAAGCGTTTATTCAATAAATTCCACATCGAAAAGACAACTCACAAACTAGGAAAATCGGTGCTTCATCTGCTTGGCGATCTCCCTTTGCACGCTCTGCTGATCCTGCGCCTTGCTGATCCGCTCCATCAGCTCGTGGTTGTAGGTGCTGTGCAGCATCAGAGCTAGCACCCCAGCTCGGTTCGCCATGCTCGTCCTGATCTGGCGCTCCTTCTCCAACAGCTCGTCCATCTTGAGCCATTGGCGCACCCGCTCCAAGTCGATCTGGAAACGGTGAGAAATTGCTGTTGTAGTTGTTGTTCTTTATTACCCCAAGAAACAGCTTCGTTTATAATAGCGATATATAAACATATGATATATAAACTACTCAACACTAATTTCGTCGCACACCAAAATGTCGCCCCTGTTATAATGTGAATAACTTTTTTCAGTTTGGAACAATTTGAATTTGGTTCACACGGTTCGATAGCCCAGTCCTTCAGCTATAATCTGGTACTTCATTGAAACATAAGGATATTCACATAAAATCTCTACATGGTGTTTTCCGACACTGTGCAAAATTTCGGAATATTCAAGATGCTCTCAAATGGTTGAAAAAAATTGTTTCCCAACTTCGACAACAGAGGCATGAAGATGATCTCATTACCTCGAGATATTTCGCGAATCAACTTCCTATCTCTCTTATTTACAGAGTGATCTCAAAAAATCAACTTTTTGGTTTTGCAGCCATAACTTTTTTCCACGTCAACCGATTTTGGAAATCTTAGGCTCATTTTGAAGATAAAACTTCAGATGAAGAGATCTGAATATCAGAATTGACTCAAGATGGCTATCAAAGATCTAGAGTTTTCTTGAAAGTGACCCAAATCTGGAACGCCCTCCGAATCTCGGTTGGGAGGAGAATTGAATAAAAATCAACTTGTTCTCGGAAAAACAATTCATTCTGGATGCGTCCATATTTTCCTCGCTCTCAGTACTCAAGAATGTGCGTGAGAAAACACAATTGAAACATGTTCTTGCAAAAACATCAGACCATTTCTCCTCTGTAATGCATGGCCCGTAACCAACGTTACAAGAATCACAGTAAGTGACTGACAAGTCAGGTTAGACGTCGTTCTCGAATCATAAACAGATTTTGATAGTTTCGATGCCGCATCTAACGCTCGACCAGTTGGAACTGATTCCACAAATGAGGGAACAAATCTTCCCTCCAAATCGCGGATCTGCTAAACACGACAGTCCGATCCATTCAAAGGGCTTATCTCCGAGCTAATGCTGGGAATATTTTGTACCATTCGAGGAGGCCATGAAGGAGAACAACAAAGAAAACCACTCCTGCTCAAGACCGCCTCATTGGGAGAATTGTACGGCGAACCCGAACTTCAACTGCTTCCAAAAACTACTGATGAACAAGTAATGTCAATATACAGGGTGTTTCAGTTTTTTGTAGCAGGACTAACAGCTTGAAGAAGACATTTTTTTAAGATGAAAATCTCATACAAACATATATGCGTGAGAGCTTCGTTTCCGATTTACAGGGTGTCAGAGTTTCAGATTTTTTTCATGTTTTGTTTTTTAATTATAATGGTGTTCAAAAAAATCAATTTAATTCTGCAATTGAATTTCATTTGGTATGGAAGCTTTCGGTCATTCTATTTTCCAATAAAATGTTTAAGAAGTGTCAAATAAGTGTGTTTGAGAAATAACGGTTTTATAACAAGTAATTTATTTTTGGCATATATCTCGAGATCCATACAGTTTTCGAAAAATTTACATGGGGGCAAAAAGTTTTCAAATTGAAAGGACAATCTGAATCTATGTCCCATTGAAAGAAGAGACGGCAGGCAAAAAAGTTCTACAGGGTTAAATTGGGTACGACCCTTAAAGTCTATCACCCTGTAGGTATTCAAAAGTGCTCAATAGCCTAAAATATTGAATTTTCGAAGTGTATTAGGTATACCAAATTTCAATCATTTATTCTGAAAATTGTAGGAGAAAATTAAAAAAACATTGAAAGAAATCTGGAACTTTGACACCCTGTGAATCGGAAACGAAGCTCCCACGCATATATGTTTGTAGGAGATTTTCATCTTGAAAAAATGTCTTCTCCAAGCTGTTATAGATAGATAGATAGATAGAAAATTTAATCCATTAAATGAGCTCAATAACATAGCTATTGGACAGGTCAAAGGCTAAAACTAATTAAAATTAAATATAACAAATAATACAATTAACACCAGGTACACAAATTCATCACATGTAAACTTTACTACACAAGACTATTTAAAAAAAAAGGAAAAGCTAACACACTTCTGAATTCATTTAAAATATTCATAAAATTCAGCTATTGTGTATGGGCTAATTTCTAAAAGTAACTTACATAACATTTTCTTGAAGCATTGAACTGAGTTGATATTCTTCAAGGCATCGGGAAGAACGTTATATAATCTCAGTCCCAGAATTTTATATGACTTCATACAAAGTGTGAGGTGTGTGTTAGGGATATGAAAATCATTTCTTGTTCTCGTATTATGTTCGTGATAGGATCGATTTCTTGTAAAAGAATTTCTATTCTTATGAACATAAACTACGAGTTCCAGAATAAAAAGTCCAACCAGTGGTAAAATTTCAAGTTTTTTGAAGAGGCTACGACATGAGAATGTAGATGATACTCCTGCAATCGATCTAATGATCCTTTTTTGAGAAATGAATACGTCCTGTACGCCTGTTGAGTTTCCCCATAACATTATACCATATGATAATCTAGACTGAATCTGACCAAAGTAATATTGTTTCAGACCTCGATTATCCAAAACATTTCTGAGAACCCTGATTTGGTAACATTTAGAATTCATTGATTTGCTCAGCTTACTGCAGTGAATACTAAAAGATATATTGCTGTTCATGGTTATACCTGTTAAAGTCCTGCTACAAAAAACTGAAACACCCTGTATAACATGAAAATTAAAACAAATCAATCCAACTATTCAAATGAGAAACAATAAACTGTTGCTGGCCATGATTATTCAAAAACAAGTTATTCATCCCGAGAATAACGAATGATAAACAGATCAAGCAAGTATATGAATCTTGAAGGCTTCCCTGATCAAAATATAAATACTTAACTATAATAAGGTGTATTTATATCTCCAGCATGGGTATGAAATGCCAAATCTGCCGAAATCGGAAAAAAATCAGGTATGCGTCCAAACCCAAATAACCAACCGTAACAATGTTGTTTATTCGTGATGACATCTAGTACACCCTTTTTAGTAGAACTTTAGCTCCTAGGAACTAAATGTGTAGCCTAACAACATACCTTCTTTTGTGTCAGTAATAAAAACGTCAAATCAAGAGCTAATTTTGGCATTGAAATGAATGACTTTTGTGTCGGTTGCAGAAAAAAACAATCTTTAGATGAACAATTTTTCCAGGCTGTGTTGAAGTTTCTAGTATAATTTTTAATTTTCTTCGACAATCTGGCAGATAAGTTTTGCGATACTTTATATTTATAAAATATATGGAATATGGAAATATTTATTTGTCCTGTATTGACATTATGCAGATTTAATGAAAATGAAAGTACATATTTCATGAATATACAAAGAAATAGTCTCAATACATAGTATTTCACAAACAATTCTCTACAAGAGTAGGTTGAAGGAACGCCTGCCATTATTCTCATGAAAAATCGATGTATCATAATAGGCGAGAACACAATAGCACGAATTCAGTTCAAATGTGCATAAGAAATAAATATAACATTGAAATAATGTGTACCAGTAGTTTTTTCAACAATAAATGCTGTCATTATCCAAAGAACGCGTTTTCAAAACCATACAAATTTGTGGACCATTCAAAAAACCAATAATGGCGGATACGTGATGACGTAACAAGTATTGGCGTGCATTTGGCAACGCTGTACTGTACCTCCAAAATATTCTAACATATTTCCTAACCTAAGAAACCAAACTCCTAAACATCAAAACATCAGAGTTTTTCTGTGATTTTTTATTTGCTTTTTGCTTAATATTTTCTTGTGTAATCAAAATATTCAAATCATTGTGACTATTATTGTGACATAGTCTGATGGTTCATGTTTAATGATTGGAGATATGAAGCCAGTATTCGAAAAAGCAATCACAATCTTCCAGTAGTTGATTCAACTATGGTTTCTGAATTCTGCAAGTTCAAATAACTGGCATGAGCTGTTTCATAAAGGTGAAGATTAATCCAGAACATAAAGTTCGTCCTACACCATAAAGGGTTGAGGCTGAGATTCATGAAGCTGAAGAAACTGTAGTCTGGATTGTGCAGTTTCAAAAGGTAAAAGGTACATAAATTCTTGACTTTTTTGTAAACGATATTCTTTCATATTCTTAGGTAGATGTAAACACAGTGTGGCTTTCTTATTATGGTTACATGGAAGAACAGAAGAACCCTCTGTACCTTCTATGGAGTGTTACTGAAAAGTGTCCAACTCAGTGTCCAAAACTACCAAATTTTTGAGCTTCCTATCAACATTCATGCCACTTGTAGAATTAGCACCAAAACAAGTTCCTACCCTCCCAGTGGTTCCATCAAAATTTCTTGAAGAAGTTTTTCAAGTAGATGGAAAACATGGATGCCAAGGATAACTGTTTTTGAAAGAGTTTGATTCTGATTCATAAGCTAATTATTTATTTTGTCCAGAAAACATTCATCCAATTTGTCTCCTAGGGGATTCCAAGACTTCATTCATCAGAATATCATCAGTGACAGTGATTGTGAATTGGTGCAAGATATAAAAGTGAATCAAAACAAATCATCATTATCAGCATGGTTTGAAGTTTGCTATGGAAGAATTACTGCTTCAAAGCTATGAGGCACAAAGTGCAAGACAATCGAAGGTACATTAGATGAGCAGGAGAATTTTGAGAATAATGGTAGTTTTCAGTTACTTGAAGTGTCATATGACCCTATATTCCTTTAGAAAATTATAAAAGATGCTTAAATTGTTGACAAACTGTTAATTCCACCCATTTATTAAAATTATAAAATATCTGCACTACAGTACTTGTTTTCTTCTCTTATTTCAAAATTGGACTCATTTAGAGCTCACCAGTGTCTTATAAATAACATATTTCATCATACACAACTTCAAAATCCCTTCTCATATTGATCATACACTATTCCTTCACAAACTGGAGATGGTATAGGTATATGAAATTCATGTTTACTTCTTGTCGAACAACCTAGTTCATTCATATTTTATTGTCAGTGGAATATTGGTAAGAAAGACCAATACCTATCATTACACCAAAAAAGTAATGAAAGTAGTAAGAAAAAAATCCAGTAAGTATAAACCAAGAAAGCACTGGCATATCTAGAAATGATGGAAGATGCAACATCAATTCTCAATGCAAAAAACAAAATCATACAAGCCAAAATTACTAGATAGGTATTGTCACTATTTCATGTAGGGAAAATTTGTCAAAAATGTAAACAAATAGGTAGTACACAGAAATTATCAAATGCCCCCATCTTCAAAATGAAGCAAGAATGCTCAAGAATGTTGTTGGAAATTTTCATTTATTGTCCACTTTATGCAGTAGATATAATTAGAACAGTTAAATATTATTAGACCTAATAGATATATTTCATTTCTAGAATGAATATAGATGTAGAACATGGAAATATTATATCAATATCTTGTCCAGATCATCACAGTTTTCAAGAAAACAAATAAACTTAATCATGATGGTAAAAATCACAAACATATTTGTATATCAATCAGCAACAGTCCTGAGTCATTTTATCACAAATCACAATATGTTATGGTACTGTCAATTTGGTTCTGGTTCATAGTATTTGATGTCAGTCTCTTCCATGACAGGTTCCTTTTCAGGTTCTTCAAGAAAACTTTCTTCAACTAAAACACTCACTGGTACTTCCAAGAATTTTCCTCAAGGAGAGTCAATATTATATTATCTCCCAAATTCTCAAGGGATTTTTGAGATTAGGATTTTGATGGGTGTTTTCTCAGTTTTGGATGTTTAATGAATATGGAATCACATCTTCAGGCATATAAACTCTGGATCCAATCCGATCCAATTCCACCCAGTTCAACATGTTATATTCAAGCTAGAACAAAATGAGTATGATCAATCCATATTGAAGAAAAAATTCTACTCACATCAAAACGATCCTCACAGCAAAATATATCATTTGATTCCAGTATGGTTTATCCCTCGGTTTATCCATATACTTTGTTCAGTGTTGATTAAGCAGGATGGAACCAAGTTTGTGGCATTTCCTTACAGCCACTGCCATCCCAGAAATGTGAATCAACGTTGATGAGAAAAAATAAATAATTCGATGGCAGGATTAAAAGTAATATTGGCCGACAAAAACAAATAAACAATAAAATAAAATAACAACTGACAGTAGTGACAGATGAACGAATCGTCAACTGTCCACACAGTCAACAGTCCAGAAAGATATCAAGCGACGTTGCCGGATCACCGTCTAATACTTGTCACGTCACATTAACGCGCGATATTCCAGCTCGTTTGAACGGGATCAATACTTTGCAAATTTTTTGTGCAAAAACTACTTCGAATAAAAATCTGAAAAAAATACCTGAGGCTTTTATCGTCATACTAAAGGCCATGGTATTTTTTCCAGAAATTCGTGTTCTCGCCTATTACATAACGCGCCGACTGTAAATGGAAATATGACCTGAAATTATTGTTTTAGTCATTGAATAATGTGTGAAATAATCTCAGCAAATACAACTCGTTTTATCGATGATTATCGAAAATCACACTCTCTCGAAACAAATTATGTTGCTGCAAAGCAAAATCGAAGGGATTTGTATTTCGACAATCATCACTACACTTGTATTACATACGAAGACTTAACAGACAGTATTGAGACTCACTTCGGCTCTCCTCAGCTTCTCCCACACGTAATGCTTCGTACAGGACTTTTTCGACGCGCGACAGAATTCGCCGGTAGAGAGAAACACGTTGGTGACCAGGGGACAGCCGCACACCTCGTGATCGCCTATCTTCGGGTCCTTGCAGTGTTCCGGACACAGCACCCTCAGCCGCTTGCAGTACGTCTTGTTGTTCATGTTGAAGAAGTCGCAGAACATGTTGTTGCCTGCGAGAACATCGGATATTAGGATAATAACCTTGACTATGTACACTGTACAGTCGTATTCAATAAAAAAGCGTACAAGTATCAAAAAGAGAGGATTTCAGGATCCTGGTTCTAGTTGTGTAAAACTGGCTCAGCCAATGCTTGTGTTTTCGAGAACCTATGACAACTTTACTGTCAACATTTGGTAAACAATCATTCCCGATAGCCCGTTTTATGCAGAATAGGATGACGTTAATTCCTCTCTGTAATATACTTGTACGCTTTTTTTTAATGCGACTGTACATTAACAAGATGAACCATCCTTATGAGAGCAATGAAGGTAGAAATTCCATTCAGTAGGTGACGGTATCTATGAGCGACAGATGAACTACTTTTCGTTGAGTAGCGATGGGTGGGGATCGGTAATGCAGAATATAGCCGAAGTTTATTTTAGATGTTTTTATGCAAGGAGGAATGTCGCATCAGGACCGGATAAAAAAATATGTTCATTTAAAAGCCTTCAGAATATCAGTTGGTGAATTTTCTGCTTGCCTATAGATGGACTCCAGCAGATTTTGAGAGTATAGAGAAATCGGCCATACTTTGCTGAGTTTCGCTACAGCCGCCTACGAACCAGCCAAGAACCAAGGCCAAATTTGGCTCCAACATTTTACATGGAAGTAGATCATCTTGTTATGTTGAGCAGCGAAGGATGATAAGGAGTTTGCGGGATAGGGATTGAAACTGTCATGTTTCTTGTTGCTTGCGCATGGAGGGGTTACTTGTAGGCTTAGGCGTAAAAATGTCTACCAATGAGAAACAATAAATGAAGAAACAGCTTTTATCAGTTTCATCTGTCATGTCATCGATTGAAAGGACGGCATCGGGGTTTTGAAATTCCATTCAGTAGGTGACGGTATCTATGAGCGACAGATGAACTACTTTTCGTTGAGTAGCGATGGGTGGAGATCGGTAATGCAGAATATAGCCGAAGTTTATTTTAGATGTTTTTATGCAAGGAGGAATGTCACATCAGGACCGGATAAAAAAATATGTTCATTTAAAAGCCTTCAGAATATCAGTTGGTGAATTTTCTGCTTTCCTATAGATGGACTCCAGCAGATTTTGAGAGTATAGAGAAATCGGCCATACTTTGCTGAGTTTCGCTGCAGCCGCCTACGAACCAGCTGAGAACCAAGGCCAAATTTGGCTCCAACATTTTACATGGAAGTAGATCATCCTGTTATGTTGAGCAGCGAAGGATGATAAGGAGTTTGCGGAAGAGGGATAGCAACTGTCATGTTTCTTGTTGCATGCGCATGGAGGGGTTACTTGTAGGCTTAGGCGTAAAAATGTCTACCAATGAAAAACAAGAAATGAAGAAACAGCTTTTATCAGTTTCATCTGTCATGTCATCGAATGAAAGGACGGCCTCGGGTTTTTGCAGTGTTCCGGCACACTCAGCCGCCTGCAATACGTCTTGTTGTTCGTGTAATAGAAGGCGCAAAACATGTTGTTGCCTGCGAGAACAACAAATCAAAATATAGTCTGATGGAAATCTCGTAGACAAAGCTATAATAAATACATAAAAATACAAATAATATTTCAGTATGGAATCGACATATGTACGATGTACGAAAGTACGAACAAATAACACTATGAGTCTTAACATTTGTCCACTTGCTCACTTACATTCAGAAATCAAAAAATAAATATTAAGAAAGACAACATAATATAAATACATATGGTGCTTTCATAAAGTACTCAATAAATTCATTTTTAGCCAAACGATCTATTTCAGAGGAATCTACTGAATCAGGTCGTTTTTTATTTTCAAATTGCCACATTTATGAGAAAAACTTACATATACAGGGTGGTCCACGTTTGAGTTAAGACGACCACGACATTTTCTTCAAATGGAACACCCTATATATTATTAAATTTTTGGAATCTCCATGCACATCTAAATTCAGAAGTAGGGTTCGTTCGTATACAGTGTGTCCGTTAAATTGAGTTCTCCCGTAAAGTAGTGGATGAATTAATTTTTGTCCATACTATCTATTTCTGAGAAATCTCTTGAAACAGGTCGATTTATATTTTCAGTTTGCCACATCTATGGGAAAGAATTTGAAAAAATTGACGCGGACTTCATAACTCAAACGTGGATCACCCTTTATATATAATGTTTCCTTAGAAATGTGACAAATTGAATGAAATCGATCTGCTTCAGGTGATTCCTCATAAATTAATAGTTAGGCAAAAAATGAATGTATTCAGTACTTTACAAAAACACTCAATTCAACGGACGCACTTTATAGAAACCCATTGTGTGATATATTTTTGAATTCAGCTCTCCATTGAATTTCCAAAAATTCAATAAAATATAGGGGTGTTCAATTTGAAAAAAATTTCGCGGGCGTCATAACTCGAACGTGGATCACCTTGTATATTGATTTTTTTCTTCAAAATATGGGGAATTGAGAATAAAAATCGACTTGTTTCAGGAATTCTCCCAGTAATGAGTAATTTGGCTAAACCTGAATTTATTCAGTACTTTATGAAAGCACTTTATGAAAGCACTGTATGTATATCTATACTGGGTGATTCATTAAGAATGGAAAATCTCTGAACTACAGATAGTAAACACCAACATACGAAGATTTAGCCTCACTTACCTTTTAAGAATGTTGCTAGTTTAGGAGATACAGGGTGTCCAAGGGAAAGATTAGATTTTAAGTTTTTCAAAAACTTTGTTAAGTCTTAACATCATGAACATAAAATTTTGTATTCTCAAGTTTTCTGACATGAGAAATACGAATTTGTTACTTATTTTGTGATTGCTAGTAGAGGGCGCTAGTGGCAATCTGTTTATCCAAAATCTGGAAGCCCGTTCAATTTTACATAAAAAATGTACCCTTTTAAAATTGTCTAGCTTGAACGGGTTTTGCGTTATTCACTTATTTTAATTAAACGCCAACAAGAAACAAAATTTCAAATTGAAAGTTCGACCAAAGTTATGGAGAAATTAGAAATACAATTTTCAACTGCAATATTTTATGTATATGTAACTATTAGAAATAGTTGTGTTCCTGCATATTTCGAAGGTGTTAGTACTAGCAAGAGATTCATTAACCTGGCTGTTGAACGAAGTTACAATAATCTGACAAACTGAAAGTGTTTGAACAATTCTTTCATCCAATCCGTAGTTCATGTGGCATGAAAAAACTCTATAATGAAATAAAATCGCGATAGTTGTAAGGGGATATATAGAAATGTTAGTAGAGTTGATTAGCAGATGCTCAATAAAATTCGTTGTGAACTCAGAGTCTCTTTCTCAGTAAATAGGGGCTTCTCAAGTAGACACTCACCTTCGATCCTGGTCTTGTTGAAGCACTTTTCCATGTGCTTGATGATCCAAAAATTGAGAAATATTTACTTGATATTTATTAAAAATAAAACAGCTGGCAACACAGGAAAGATGATTATGACGCCAGTACTCGATAGACGAGTTTGTCGCCGAACGCTATGTTTGAACGTTCCATGAAATTGTAGGGTATTCAAATGGTGATTTTTGAAGAATTATAGCATATTTTTGTCAAGAAATGGATACATGCATTTTATGTCACTATTAAATTTTATCTATATGCACATTTGAATTGACTTCACGTATTTGTGATCCTGCACATTCTAGATCTACTTGAAGATATAGATTCCCATGACTCCAAGATGAAATTTTTGATGGGATCACCACACAAATTACCACTTTTCCTTACCGCGTTTCCTGATCGATGCAACCTTTCTCTAAAAATAGTCAATCAAATCTACACCAATCTTTCCGTTTAATAGACAGCAATTTTGCACAATATTGAACAGCACATTGCTCCATAATCTGCAACCGTTCCAAGATTTTGAGATGTTTAGGCGTTTGACTAAGATGGATTTATGCAGCAACATTTAACAATTATCAAGTAACACTTATCAATTAACGATTATCAATTAACAAGTGATGAGAATATTGACATTTATGCAAACCAAATTAACAATTAATGAATGAATAGTACGCAAGCGCACATGCCCTAAATCAAGGCTATCAAAGCCATAACCTTACAAATTCGTTGTTACAATTTACATAAGGAGATCAAATTTCAAATTTCAAAATGTTTTCTGATTTGAAAGAGACTGGGTTACTTCCATTCACAATGTTTAATGTTAAAACAAATTTCATAACATCTGTTCGATATCAGGTCTGACATTGGTCTGACCAATCCATGCCTTCTCTACCAGTAGAATAAAACCTGGTTCAATTAAAGTAAGAAAGTTAAAAGTTGGCCAGCTTCTTACTTGTTACTTGTTAATTGATAATTGTTAAATGTCTGCATAAACACCTTCATTGAAAACAGGAGGTTCAACTTTTAATTGCTACTTGTTAAATGATAAATGTTACTTGATAATTGTTGAATGATGCTGCATAAATCCACCTTTACTCACAAGGTATAGACACCTTTGCACTTTAGCTACTAGATGGCGCATCAATATCAGTTTAGTAGACACCCACCTTCGATCCTGGTCTTGAACACAGACCCGAACGACGCCTGCGACTCGTACTTGTTAAAGCACTTCTCCATGTGCTTTATGGCGGTGCGCGAATGGATCTCCAGCCCGCAAGTCACGCAAAACATCGATATCTCCGCATCTTCCTCGTTGTCGTTCTCCTGGTCGGGATCGATCGAGGCGCTTTTGGCCCGCTCGATGATAGAGTCGAGTTCCTTGTGCCGCTTGTCTAACTCTTTCAGGATCTGGTGGACTTCGACTTGCTGCTTTCGAACTTGGTCCAGAGCTGAAAAAACATATAGGTATTAACATTATGAATAACAACGGGTGCCAAGTAGAAGCTAACATATAAAATAAAGGCAGCTCGGTGGTCCAGAGCGTGAAGGCGCTGAGTTCGTATGGGGACTCCCACCGAGACATAGGTTCGAATACTAGTTAGGCCATGGATGTTTGTAATTTTTTTTTGTAATTTTTGTATATCGCTACTTCAAAGTTGTGAACCAACTCCCCAGAAGTCGAAACTTGTGCGGGGTTAGGAAGAGCGGGACCTACAGCTTATAGTGGAATCCGAACCACTTCTAGGGCATCGAGGTGCTGCCAGGATTACAACCATGAATCACACATTTTAAAGAAAAAATGCTCAGCCGATAGCCGGATTCGAACCGACAGTACCTCTGCATCGTGAACGGCTATCTAGCGAATTTCAGCGCATAGACAAACTCGGCCACGGAGCCGGTATGCTTACCTAACCCCGCACAAGTTTCGACTTATGGGGCGTTTGGTCCCAGTGCTGGGACCAACGAGGTAATGCAATTGCAAAAAAAAATTATTATGAACCATATTGTCGGCGACCTCTACACAACCCAGACATAAACAAAAGCAAACTCAATGATCTGGATGAAAAAAAGGGAAGTGGCACGGATGGTATTCCAGTACTCTTCATAAAGAAGTGCGCTGATGGCTTATATGTTCCGTTGGATAAATTGTTCAACTTATCGCTAGAGGAAGGTCATTTTCCAACTTTATGGAAAACTGCATTTCTCGTTCCCATTTTCAAAAACTCAGGAGATCGAGAACAAACTACAAATTACCGAGGTATAAGCAAACTCTGCATTATGGGTAAAGTTTTTGAAAGTCTGGTGTACGACATAATGTTCAACCGATTGAAAGGTGTAATTATCGAAGAACAACATGTTTTTTCGCAAACCGTGCAATTGAGACAAACCTAGAAACGTACACTCAATAAATATGTAATCAGATGGGTGAGCGAGTTCAGGTGGATTTTATCTACACCGACTTCAGTAAAGCATTCGATAAAATCGATCATAACATATTGTTGCTGAAACTTTCTGAAGTTGGTGTACATGGCGGTCTTCTACGATGGTTTTCCTCGTACGTGTTTATCAGATCCCAAATAGTGAACATTAATGGTTACCAGGCTAAAGCCTTCACAGTGACCGCTGGAGTACCATAAGGCTCACATTAAGGTCTTCTGCTATTTTTGATCTTCACTAATGACGTGATCTTCACTAATGACGTGAAAAAGTGATTTGTAAACTCTAAATTAATTTAAGCAGACGATTTCAAAATATTTTCTAAAGCTCTTGAGAACTGTGCAAAACTAAATTCTGTTCTTTCGAGGTTCTCACAATATTGCGAAAGGAATAGATTATTCTTGTACACAAAAAACTTCAAGAATTTTGAATTCAGTTGAAATATGTCTGGCACTGTTTTGAAGAGAGTGGAGGAAATCAAAGATCTAGGGTTAATTCTAGATTCCAAAATGAATTTCAACAAGCATTACATTTATATAATAAGTAAATATAGTAAAATGTTGGGCTTCCTCACTCGAATTTGTAAAGGTTTTAAATCTCATCATCTCTCATCATCTCATCTCAAATCATTGAAAACTCTATACTATCATTTGTTTACAGCAAATTGAATTTTGCGAGTGTGATTTTGAATCCAGGATATAACATATATAAACTAAGAATCGAAAAAGTACAAAATAGGTTCGTAAGATTTCTGAATTTCAAAATAAATGGAACCTACAACTTAGAAACTATTCATCTAGTTCGGCAGTCGTTTGGTATTTTGGAACTTGAAAAACGAAGAATAATCACTGACTTAACTGTCCAACATTATTATCATTTTTCTCTATTCATGTTCCTCCTAGGAATACTCGTAACAATCTCTTTCTCAATATAGATTATCGAAATACAAATTTAGGCCGCAAGTCTCCAATTTGTAGATTAAGCAGTAGTTTTAACAAATATTGAAGTGTTGATATTTACTGTATATCTTTATTCACCTTCAAACAAAAAGTTAAAAAAATATTTTTCACATAAAATTCCAAAATTGTTCAAAATTTTAAATTTCACTATAACGATTATACTTCTACTCATTCGGAAAAATTATCTGTTCAAACGGTAAGGTGACGACCACGATGCGATTTCACACCCATTCAATTATCACCCTGTAGCAATGTTATCTGAAATTACAGGAGTTTCATATTGCCACAACAAACTGTCAAGAGATTAGGCTAATCATTGGTAAAAACCGATTTCAAATTGGTGAGGAAATTCGTAAGTTATTCTACTTTGAATTCAGGCTATATTTTGGAGCACGACTTTATCAATGTTGACCAGTTTAGATAGAACATGGTATTCACTACTAAAATCTTAAAATGAAAATAGTAAATTCAAGATTAATTGATAGAAACATCCTGTAACTCATTTGATTGCCAACGTCACCAATTGTCACTGAGAACTGAAAAGTATCAGGACAAATACGAATTTGCAAAACAAAAAATACATTTTTTATGTTGAAAACGGGAGCAGATTCGTTCCCGAAACGTCCAAAGATAAGTAAAACTTTGATATTTTTTCTATATACCTTCATTTCTCTTCTCCAAACCTTTTTCAATTCAAATTGTCACTGACAAGCTAGTGAATTTTTCTTTCAGGCTCTCTGATAGGAAAATTCTTCAAACGCAGTGACATTTTGGGGCAAATCCTCTGATTTGTCCTAACTACACGTATATTGAAATAGTATTCATATTTTTATTTTATAGAGACGAGGAGAAAATCCCAACAAAATCTGGAATAACGAACGTACCTTTGGTGTTCATCTCCTCGGCCGCCGACGGACTCAGCGCCCACTCCTGCAACCGCTGCGGCAGCACTTGCAGGATCCGCGTCTTCGACAGATTCATGCCGCACTGGTCTGAGCAATACTTCGACCCAAATCGGGCGCTGTTGACGCACTTCGGGCCGTAGCAATGACGTGCGAACTCGGTCTTCAAGTGGGCGTTGGAAGGCTGCTCGCGATCGGAGCTGGAGTCGCGCCTTTTGCGCCTCGCTCTGAAAGATTACTTGGAGTGTTTTTTCTATTTTCGTGTCGATGAAATCATGTTTAGGCTCCTTCACCGTTCTGTTGATGTCACAGAGCCTCAGCCGTCTCGAATAACAAGCGGTGGTAATATATTGGCAACACCGCCCGTGAACCGAAAGTCTTTCTCTTTATTGGGCGACATAGGCAAACAAAAGTACGTTATTACTAACTACGCTAGCTAGCATAACGTCATTTTCTTGCTTTACTAGTCAGTCGCAAGATATAATAAACAACTGACAAGGTCAATTTTACATCGACCATGGAGGACCATTTCGGATAATTATTGGAATATTTTTGTCTTGCTACAATCCCAAATTTATGCTTGGTTGACTAGATTTTTCATGATATCACCTCATTTCTGCAGGTATACGTTCACGCGCATATATGGATTGATAAAAATCTGGTAGTTTTGAAATTTACTATGGGATATCGTCCAGTCTGACTTCATAAAAAATCATAGGTAGGACTCTACCAGTATTTCTTCTTAGAAGCCATTATCTTGTACATATCTCCCTCTTCTTTTTTAAATCACTTCGTATTACAAATACAACACAAAATACTTACGATATACGATAATTTTTCCTTGTAATTTTTCCCATTTTAGAAAACCTACTTAACCAATATTTTTGTTCAAAAATCTTCAATTCGTGTGACAAAGATTGCTCAAACCATTTGAGTCAAACAGGCAAGAATGACACACACATCAAACAAATTCGATCAAATTGTTGGACCGGAAGACACGGCCGTTAGGTAGCACATATCTTATATACAGTGTGTCCCACTTTGAGCAGCACCACCTTGGTATTTTCTTAATCGCTGACAGATTTCAGAAATTTTGTGTTTCAACATGTACTTCTTAATGAGTTCTACATTTCTTAGTATCCAACACTCTGATTGCACTATGATAAATTGAAAATGCCAAGAATCAGTTAGTAATATTAGGAATTTTTCAGTGGAAAACTGACATTCTCAACAAGTTGAGAACTCCCCCAAATACATGTGGTCAAATTTTCATGTTGATATCATATACAGGGCGTTATTTATTGTCAATATTCTTTTAATGTTTGAAAATAATAAAAAAATATAATACCATTATGATTTTATTTAGATACTACATAAAAACACCTGTTTTATACTTTTCTTCATGACTTATACACAGGGTGACGTATGTATTGATATTTCAATTCAATTTTCATATTTTCTGTTTTTTTGCCCAAGGCACGTACTCAACTTGAAAAAGTAATGGTTCAATTTAGTTTAGGTTTCATCATTTGCCGATAAGGCTTCAAGTAGTTATTTCATCACAAATTGCATGATGAAGAAGAAATCATCAAGGTCTTGAAATACCTACCCTTGAGTTCAGGATGACAAGGAATATTTTCTCAAGTTTCACTGATGGTATTACCCCAAAAAATATACCGATCTCATCAATTTTCACTCAAGGAGTTCACAAAATGATGATCAAGTCTGCCGTGGAAACGCAACTTTCAATTATCTTTCTTCAACTATCTTCCGCTCAGGCATAAAAAATAAGGGAGATTAACGCAATAGCTTTTTTCCAATAGCCGTCAGGATGGCTCTATGGAAATTACGCGATATTCACATTTTCAAATAGCTTGACAGATAACGATTTTAGTTGAACGAGCAGGTTTTTATCAAAATGTTTGTAGAGCAATGCCAATGCAATGAAAGCTTACACTCTTGGAAAGAATAAAGATCATTTAAATAATTGGTATACCAGGTCATCATCAAGAGCAGCAGCTATTGAATTCAATAGAGGAGTCATCAAGATCAAGATCGATCCCATCAACCACACTGTGTTGAACTCAAAAAGAAGGGGAAGTGGGCGGCAAAGAAATGATAATAGAGATATTTCAAATTATTTCAATGATAATCCGACAAGTAGTCTTAGGCAGTCCTCTCTTGATCTCGGCATTCCAAAATAAAAAAAAAACTGGAGGCATTTGAGAAATGACAAAGTTATTCCATTTAAACCAAAACTTCTTCACATCCTTGAGAATGGGGATAATATTAGAAGATTGGAATATTGCCTATGGTGTCAAGGAGAATTTCTGAATGATCCAAATGTCCTCGATAACATTTTATTCACAGACGAGGCAACTTTCACGACAAACGGCATAGTTTCCTCACAAAATTCCCGTTATTGGAGCACCGAAAACCCCCACTGGGTGGTAAACGGCAGTATTTTCAAAAAATCAACGTGTGGTGTGGTATTTTAGGGAAACAAATTATAGGCCCTTTTTTCTTTGAAGGCAACATGAATTCAGGAAATTTTCTCAATTTCTTGAATAATCAATTATGGGATGCACTGGAAGACACTCCGATCGAGCTACGGCGGGAAATGCATTTTCAGTTGGATGGTGCAAGCATTCATAATGCTAGCCAAGTGCGCGATTGGTTGGATACGTTCAGGGGGAGATGGATAGGTCGCGATAGCCCAGTTATTCACTGGCCAGCAAGATCGCCAGACCTGACGCCCCTTGATTTATTTTTATGGGGTATCTTAAAGCAGAAAGTTTATAAGTCTAGACCCAGAAGTAGTGAAGAACTGCGAAAAAGAATTTTGGTGGCATGTCATAACATTACTCCTAGTACCTTAAAGAAGGTGGCAACTAATAACAGAAGACGAATTCTCAAATGTACAGAAAATAATGGTGGATTGATCGAGAATACTGAAATTTAGGGAAGAGCAATGATAGAGGGTGTTCACGAGTTGTTAATCATTTCTGTTAATAAGTAGTATTAAAAAAATCACTCTGCTCACAAGTTTTTATTATTATCTTTTAATATTCGGAATAAAAATAGGAACTACCAAATTTGAAACACAAGGAAAGGAAACAAAAGTTGAAAACAAGAAAATTCAATTTGAATTGAAGCAACCATGAGTTATAAAAATATATTCGTAGTTCAAATATCATCCTGTGTATTAGGTCATTATGAAACATGTGTTTTTAAGTAGTAGTAAGTAGTAGTATCAACATGAAAATTTGACCACATGTATTTGAGGGAGTTCTCAACATGTTGAGAATGTCAGTTTTCCGCTGAAAAAATTCCTGATATTACTAACTGATTTTAGGCATTTTCAATTTATCATAGTTGGCTCGTAGTGCAATCAGAGTGTTGGATACTCATAAATGTAGAACTCATTGAGAATTACATGTTGAAAAACAAAATTCTTGAAATCTGTCAGCGATTAAGAAAATACCAAGGTGGTGTTGCTCAAAGTGGGACATACTGTATGTATCTCTATGAAGGAAGCAAGCTAAAGCCAATTCCCACGGGAGGTAATTTTGTTTTCCTCCCGCGGGAGTAAATTGACAGGTTTGCCTTTAAATGAGTTAGCAAACGGTTAATTTCGATGCAGTGAGTAGATAAAAAATATATATCTATTTTTCTGTGACGGGAAAAAAGTTTGGCATTTCATCTCTGTTGGCAGGTTATAAAATGTCACTTTTCATAAATTACTTTTTTCTCGTGGGAAAGAAGTGAGTGCTTTTTTCCCGAATATATATCAAATATATATATATACATTGTTGATGGCTTTTGTTGTGCTATAGTTCCAAAAAATGAGTCAATAATACCGTCTCTGAGAAAGAACTGCAAGTCCTTTTATCTTCCATTCGACTTCGCGGTTACGTTAATTACTAAACAACCACTAAATTCGCAATTTTTTGAAATCAAATCACAGAATTAGACTGACAGAAGTGACATCAGATATTTGATTACTTTAAAAGAATGATAAAGATGCCTACAACGCAGGTGTCCCTACTGTTCAATACTTAAAATTTCACGTCGATAATTTTCAGATTTCAAAATAATGTAATATCTTCTTAATATTGGTTCGTCCTTTCTTCTGTCACAGAAAAAAATAGTGCATTATACACGGGAAAAATATTAGATTTTAGCTCACGATTTTTTGTCTCCCTCCGCTACGCGTCGACAACACAGCCTGGAGCTAAAATCTACTACTTTTTCCATTGTAAAATAAATAACTATTTTTTTCTACTCACTGCATCGAAAGTAGAAGATTTTATTTTTTAGCCAAAAGAATACAAAGATTCCACAGAGGCTTCTCTGCTTGGTAGGGATAATAATACTGTATATACAAATTTACAAATACTCAGTCAAATGGTAATATGGTAATGGTAGTGGTAGAACTCGTCATAAACATAATACATATTATACACATTGTACACTAGAGCAAAACATTTAACATTTAAGGGCAAAGCATTTCCTCACAAAAGCAATTTACATGTTTTGAAAGTAGTTCCTCAGGTTAATTTTAAACAAGTTATTATGATTTTTAATTTCAATGGAAGCTGGTTATAAACAACAGCCCCATTGTACAATATGGATCTTTTCGATAAGTTTGAATTCACTGCAATTGTTTGCTCCCTCATTTGAAGATAAACCTGTCAATTTACTACCACGGGAGGAAATAGTATATTACACACCGAGGTGGGAAGTGATTCATTCCTGGCGTGAGATTAGTTAGTTACCCGAGACGCAAAGCGTCGAGGTTAGCTATAATTTCGAGACAGGAATGAAACTTCCTACCGAGGTTTGTATACGATTTTATTTACAACCATCATATTTCGATCAAAATTAATAAATTTATGTATCGTTCTGAACATACCTGAATTATTACATGAGTGAGGACGGGAAGTGAGGGCGGGAAATAGTGAGGGGCGGGAAGTGAGGGCGGAAAGTAGAGGTGTGTAATGTGACACTTCCCAACCTTTAATCACGTTAGTAATGACAACATTACATTTCGTCGGCGAAACCCGACGTTTTACTGAAATTGAAATTTTAACGACATCTGATGGATTAAATTCATATCTTTTATTTGAAGAAATGGGTATCTTCACGAAATTCAAATTATGTGTATAAAAGGTCATTCAGAAAACCGTGTAAATCCGTACCGACAAGCATGGTAGCATATTGCTTCGTCCTCCTATTTCCATAACTTCTCATTCAAACGCGTTAAATCATACAGGAGGAATTCAACAATTTATCTCGTCTGGCATGTTTTAATGCTCTTCTTGGGTTTCGCCGACGATATATGATTGTATATAAGAAAAAATATCTATTGCCATTCAATCTGAGGATGCTTACCCTGGCAGCGAACTGACGCACACCCGCTGCTTACACCGCTCCTTGGTCTTCGACGAGCCGTGTCTGATCCGCCTCGTACACACGTCGCACCTGCCGCAGTCCTCCGTTCTATAACAGCCGACGCATTCGCCGCACTTCTTGATCTTCTTGTCCGCTACCGAACACACAGGGTTTCAATCTCTGGTAGAAGTCCATGTTTGCTCAAAGTGGAATGGAATTTTTAAAAAGAGAAAGAAAAGGTGGCCAGGTAGCCGTGCGGACAGAGTGTCTATATTCTAATTCGCATTCGCTTGCCGGTCGTGGGTTCGATCCCCGTCGACTGCAGAAATTTTTCTGATGGCCCAAGAAAGTGTTTGGGATCACACGTTAAAAGGTAAGGCCCCCGTCATTCCTTGCTCCCACAAGACTTTCGAAGACTTTTGAGGGTTGTGTTACAGATCATGGAACCATATGCACGCTGTATATAGTTGAATTTTTATTTACTCTGTATGTTTCTAGTTTGATGTGTATTGTCAAGTTTGTCATTAATTAATTCTATAAAAATTCATATCTGATTGAGCTTCTTTTTCTGATTGTACCACGATACATTAGTATTTTCACTATTCTGATCCATATTTCATCCTTCATACGAAGTATTCAATCACCGGGTAGGTGAATTACGAATATTTAACATTTGGCGACCGTGACAGGACCCCCGACTATGGAGAAGGCGAAGAAAGTACTTGCGGTTCAAAGAAGTTCATTTGATCAAGTTTTTTATGACATCATGAATCTATTCAGCGAAACAGATAAGGATAAGATTGGTATATTCAGTAAAATCAACCTCCTAGAACAGAAAATTGAAATTTTGATGGATTTACATAAACAGGTTGTGGATTTTCTGTTAGACGATGAAAATGCCTTGATATCGGAGATTACACTAGCTGATGAATATTCTGCAAAGTATTTCAAAGTGAAACTGATGGCTGAAAATCTTTCTAGTAAGGATTTCATTGCAGACAATATCTCTCAGTGTTCTAGTAACTCCAGAAGAAAGCTCAAATTACCGACCATAGAATTCAAAAAGTTTGGTGGCGAAATAAGAGACTGGCTTTCCTTCTGGAGCCAATTTCAACGAGTTGACGATGATGAAGACATTGCTTTGGAAGATAAGTTTCAGTACTTGATTCAAGCAACCATACCAAATTCGAGAGCTCGTCAGCTTGTGGATAGCTACCCTCCAAGTGCAGAAAATTACCCGAAAGTAATTGAATGCCTGAAAAACAGATTCGGAAGGAAAGATTTTCTCGTAGAATTCTATGTACGTGAGTTGGTGAAGCTAGTGTTGAATAATCTCTCATCCAATAACAATCTCAGCTTTCTTTATGACAAAATGGAATCCCAATTACGAGCCTTGGAGACTCTTGATGTCACCTCAGAAACTTGTGCGGCTATGTTGTATCCCCTGATGGAATCTTGTCTACCTGAAGATCTCATTCGAGTATGGCAGAGGAGTACATTCTACGATACTGATTCTACCCTCAAGAATCGCCTAGATAAATTGATGAATTTTCTTAGGAAGGAAGTTGAAAATGAGGAGAGGATTACTTTGGCAATGTCAGGTTTTGGAATTCAAAACAGATCCAAGAAGAGAGATGATGCTCCCAAACATCATGTTCTGCCAACCGCTTCTGGATTGATTAATAATAATATTCAGAAGAAATGTCACTTTTGTTGTGGTATCCATTTGACTGAACATTGCGTAGAGGCCAAGAAATGGTCTTTATCTGATCGTAAGAAAAAATTGATGGAAAAAGGATGCTGTCATCAATGTTTGAAATATGGACATATTTCTAGAAAATGTCGTGTAAATTTGACATGTACTATTTGTGGTGAGAGACATCATGACATTATGTGTCCGAAACCTGATGAACCAGCATCTAAGTCAACTGTAGTCAATAAGAGTGTAGAGAACAATTTATCCAATAGCTCATATTCTGAAGTTTTTCTGCAAACTCTAGTTGCCAATTTGAATGGTTCCAATAAATCAAGGACAGTTCGAGTGATTATAGATACTGGGTCTCAGCATTCATATATAGCGAAGGCAGTAGCTGAAGAAATGGATTATGATTGTTTGCGGCAAGAAGAAATCATCCATGCCCTCTTTGGTGGTTCGAAAACGAATGCTGTCAAACATAACTGCTATCGTATAAGATTAAGTAACCTGACGAATGATTATGCTTGCAACTTCGAAGCACTTGACCACTCTATCATATGTAGCAATGTAGCATGTGTTCGTAAGGGTCCATGGATTGAAAAGTTACACTCTGTTGGTATTGAAATCACAGATTCACAAGAGGGAGCCATTGATGTTTTAATTGGTGCTGATATAGCCGGCAAATTGTTGACGGGAAACCGTTACGAGTTGGATTGTGGCCTAGTAGCACTAGAAACCCTGTTAGGTTGGACACTGATAGGGAAACTTCAAGACGAAAACAATGAAAAGACCAAACCATCTATGGTGATGTCGATGTTTTCGAAAAACGACTCGATTTCTGATTTATGGAATCTGGATGTGCTTGGTATATCTGATCCTGCAGAGAAGAAAACACAGCAAGAAACCGAAGAATTTGTCATGAATCAATTTTTAAATACGCTCACTAGAGAAAATGATGGCAGATATGAAGTTCATTTGTCTTGGATCGAAGATCACCCTCCCTTGCCAAGTAACTATGGGATAGCCAGAAAACGACTCGATTCCTTGGTGAAGAAACTCAATACCGATGGTTATTACGACCGATATGACCAGGTTTTCAGAGAATGGATGAATGAGGGCATCATCGAAGAAGTTCCTGAGTCAGATTTGATGAAAGAGGGACATTATTTACCTCACCGTCATGTTGTGAATGAAAACAGCGCAACTACCAAGATACGGCCTGTTTTTGATGCTTCTTCGAGAGAGAAAAATCAGCCATCTCTGAACCAGTGTCTAGAGAAAGGCATAAATTTGATTGAGTTGATCCCATCCTTGCTGATCAGATTTCGCATGTCAAAATTTGGACTCATTTCTGACATAAGAAAAGCTTTTCTACAAATAAGCTTAAATGTCAAAGAAAGAGATTTCCTGCGTTTCTTATGGTTTGATCATACAGGAGTGTTAAAAACTTATCGACATGCGAGGGTAGTTTTCGGAGTTACATGCAGTCCATTCTTGTTAGGAGCAGTAATAGAAACACATCTCAAAAATTGCCTCGAAAGTTCAACGAATTATGAAACAAGATTAATAATTATTCAACTACTCAAGAGTTTTTATGTGGACAACTGTGTCACGAGTCTGGATAGTATGGAAGAAATCCAGAATTTCATTGAAGTTTCCACAGAGTTATTTGCCGATGCCAAGTTCGACCTGAGAGGGTGGGAGCATTCAAGTATTGAAGGTAATTTTGAAAACACCAATGTTTCTTCAGTTTTGGGACTTTGCTGGAATAAAAACTCAGATACTTTGCAGTTGAATTCAGAATGGTTTCAAGAAATCAATACAGAAACTATTACGAAACGTATTATTTTATCTACTGCTCATCGTCTTTTCGATCCTATAGGATTTTCGTGTCCAGTTTCCCTTTGGCCTAAAATATTATTGCAAAAGATATGGGAGTTGAAGATAGAATGGGACACTGAAGTACACGAAGATATCAAGAAAAGTTTTTTGAAGTGGGTGGAGGAAATTCCGACACTCCTGAGCCTGAGAATCCCCAGATGGTTATTTGGTTCCACTGATGGAAGAAATCACTGTAGTTTGCATGTTTTCTGTGACGCAAGTCAACACGCTTATGCTGCAGCGATCTTCCTGAGATCTGAAACGTGTGACAGCGTGAATGTTCAGCTTGTACAAGCCAAATCCAGAGTTTCTCCTGTCAAGCGAATGACCATACCTCGGCTCGAGTTGTTGGCTGCTACCATAGGAGCTAGACTATCCAAAACTATTACCGACATTATTGATCCTGATCTGTTAGTTTACTGGTGGTCTGATTCCACAGCAGTCCTGTCTTGGATTAAAGATGATACGAAATGGAAGTCTTTCGTTTGGAATCGGGTACTAGAAATTAGAAAGCTGACTAATAAAAATGCATGGTATCACGTTCCTGGAAATCTCAATCCAGCAGACCTTCCTTCCCGTGGCTGTTCCCCAAAACAACTGATGTGCTCGAAATGGTGGGAGGGACCTGAATGGTTGAAGGAATCTCCGAAAAACTGGCCTAATCAAAATTACCAGAGGGATGAAGAGACCATTGAATCTGAAAGAGGAAAAGATATCATATCCACTAATTTATCTACGACTACCGATTCTTCTTGGTATCACGAGAGAATTTCGAAATACGGGAAAATTATCCGAGTACTTGGTTGGATCAGAAGATTCATTGGAAATTGTCGTCACAAGGATGCCAGGATTACAGATGATGAATTATCTTTGGTAGAAGTAGAGCAGGCAGAAAAATGTATCTTGAAATTTGTGCAGAATGAAGCATTCAATGGGCCTGATGATGCTCAGTTGAAGAGTTTTTGTTGTTTCATAAATGATGATGGTATCATTAGAATACAAACCAAGGTTTCTGAGAGGAAGGACTTTCCTGATTTCTGCTATCCAACGATTCTACCATCCAATCATCCCATCGTGAGTAAACTGATTTACGAAACTCACGTGAAATTATTTCACGTTGGTGTTCAGGGTTTGCTCAGTTTTCTGCGAGAAAGATTTTGGATCATAAGAGGCAGAAAAGCAGTGAGAACTGTAATCTCAAAGTGTACGATATGCCGTAGATTCAATGCCAAACATTTAGAAGTTCCACCTGTGTCGCTGACTGAAAATAGAGTACGACAAGCTCACATATTTGAAGTCATAGGTGTAGATTTGGCTGGCCCCCTTTACATTCGAAATGGGGAAAAGGTATGGATATGCCTGTTTACTTGTGCCATTTATCGAGCTGTTCATTTAGAACCCTTGTCGTCACTGTCCACCGATGTCTTTCTGCAATCATTCAGAAGATTTGTGGCGAGAAGAGGGAGACCGTCGACTGTATACAGCGATAATGGCACGAATTTTGTTGGTGCCGACAATGCTTTCTCACAGTTGGATTGGAAAATGATTAATGAGTACAGTACTGTGGAGAGAATAGA